TTCTGAGTCCACCCAATTCTTTCACCTTGACATCGGCATCTCTCATCTGGACAAACTCACCAGCCTCCTAGTCAGGCTCCCCACTTCCACCCTTGCCCTCTACAACCCATGGTCCATAAGAGTGGCAGCAAGATCTGTTAGAATGAGACTCCGATCACGTGTCAATTGTAGAAAGAAAGTCGATGCCTTCCCGTGCTCTCCCAGGCCCTGCCTGACCTGCCCTCTCCATCCGTTCCTCCAGCCTCATGTCTGGTCACGCTCCCCCTCCCTCACTATGTCCCAGGAAGCCTGGCCTCCCCCCTCTTCCTCGAGCCTCCCAGCCCTTTCCTGCCTGTGGCAGAGGGTCTCCAGGATGGCCACTGCCAACTTCTTCTCTCCCGAATCCTGAATCACGTCCAGAGGAGGAGCCTGGCTCCCTCTCCTGGCTGCTGGGCTAGGTGGAGTCTCACTTAAGCAGCAGGATGCAGTGGAAGCGACGTTCAAGGACCGGGAGGCTGCATCAGCAGAAGCCACGTCGCTTCCGTCTGGGTCTCTAGAGTTCACTCTTGAGATGATCAGCCCGCGGGAAGCCGGCTGCTGTGATGTGAGAATCCCGAGCCACATGGAGAGGCCACCTGTGGGTGCTCTTGTCAACTGCCCCAGCAGAACTCCGGCTGACAGCCAGCATCAACTACCAGCCACGTGAAGAGCCATCCTGGATGACCAGCCCAGGCGAGCCTCAGATGATGCAGCCCCAGCCATGTGCAGATGTAGAGGAAGGGCCTTCTAGGGGAGGGAACAGCAGCTGCGAAGGCCCTGAGGTGCTGGCTGGGGTGGAGTGAGCCAAGGGAGGTAGGAAGCCACAAGGTCTGAGAAGCACTGGGGCAGACACAGTAGGTGACATAGGGCTCTCGGGCCCTGGTTAGGATCCTGGGATCACTCCAGGCAGGACAGGAGGCCGTGAAGATCAGAGGAGAATCACTCCGGCCACGTGTGGAGAAGAGACAGTGGAGGGAAGGACAGAGGGGAGGGAGCCAGAGTGGCTGACCTGGGACACACAGGCAGGGGCAATGAGGCTCAGTGGCAGCCGCGAAGGTGGCCCATATGGCCAGACCTGGGATCATCTCAAAGGCAGAGCCAGCAGCATTTGCCAACAGATTAGCTGTGGGTGAGAGAAAGAGAGAGGCGTTGAGGACAACACCAAAGGGTTCAGGAGCAAGTGATGAAGCACTGAGTAACGTGGAGAAATGTGAATGCTGATATTGACCCAGCAAAGTGGCCACAGAGCCTTGTCAGAGCGAGAGGGCGGGAAGTGGGTTAAGTCTCTATCAATTACCAGCCTGGATTCTCCAGAGCATCCTGAAATTACTTCTTATTTGCTTACTTACTGTCTTTGTGGCCTTCTGGAAGAATCTCCAGGGCCCAGCACAGGTTCTGGCAGGTGTGCAGACACGATAAATATTGTGGAATGGAAGGAAGGGAGGACAGAAAATGGAAGGAAGCAGGCAGAGAACAGGGAAAGAAGAGGAGAGAGTGAGAGGGCGGGGAGGAAGGAGGGAGGGAGGGAGGCTGGGGGGAGGAGCCCAAGGCCAGGGCCACACAATCACCCTCCTTCACTCTCAGCCAGTGTGCGCTCCTCTGTGTAGCCCCACTGCGTGTCACAGAGCAGCAGGGAGATTTCCCTGTTTCCCGAAGGATTTCCTGGGCACACAGCGGGCCCCTGGACTTGAAGCCTTAGGCTGGGGCTGGCTCGGGGCTCGCTGGCTCCAGCGCTGAGAGCCCAGCTGGCCGGGTGCTCATTCACATGGGAAAGAAGCACACTGTCCCGTTGGTCCTCTCCCCAGAAATCCACCCCATGGCTCCCACGCTCCTCCTCCTGTTCTAGCTGCCCTTCAGACCCCTGGGGACAGAGATGATCCCCAGACAGGTCTTTCCAAACCAAACCCTCCGTGATTCCTGATTCCTCAATTATTCATTCAACAAGTGATTTCTGAGCCCCACCATGTGCCAGCCCTACTCTGGGCTCTGGAGCCAGAAAGACAGAGATGCCCCCATCACAAGCCTGACGGCACCCACAGGGGCAGGGCCTGGACCAGATGCACCATGTCCACCCTGGGTGCCCGTGTCCCGGTGTCCATGGCAGACCGGGGTTAAAGGGCCAGGGTAGGAGCGACTCTGCAGCTCCCGGGCCACCCAAAGCCTGGGCCTCTTCATCTGTGACACCGGCCTCGGCCGTGCCTTCCTCACGAGGACGGGGACCATGTGCCCTCCCCCACTGCTGTATTCTCTAGTGCCTAGCCCAGGGCCCATGGAGGTCTGTCTGCTGACTGAACGAATGTGTCACAGTGTCAGGGGGTTCATGGCGCTAACATACCCGAACCCACATGACTCTTGATGGTGCTACACGTGATCTCCTGGGGCAACTTCGGGAGGACAGTGGGGCCTCAGCTGACCGGCCAGCCAGTCCCCAGAGCCGGCTGGTGACCCTGTGGTCTCCATCAGCATTTGCTGGACAGGAGGGGCCCCGGTTCCAGCCCCACATCCTGAGCTCAAAGGCCCCGTTGGTTACGGCGTCCTCTGTGCCCAGGAGCTCGGGGCTGCGCAGTGAGCTAGGGGTTGTGCAGCGAGCGGGGACAGCGCCAGGGAGAATGACTCAGTGTGGGGATGGTTACACCTGTCATAGGGTGGTCAGAGGAGAAGGTGACCTTTGAGCAGACATCTTACTGAAGCCAGAGAGGGAGCTGTGCAGGTATCTGGGTAGGAGATTTCCGGACAGAGGGATCAGCACATGCAAAGGCCCTGGGGTGGGACTGTGTATGGTGTGTTAGAGGAACCACAAGACTGATGTGGTGGAAGCAGATTAGGATGAGGGGACATGAGGCTGGGGAGGGGCAGGCAGAGCCCACAGGAAGGACTCTGCATTGTTCTAATGGAGTCAAGAGCCCTGACCTCCCAGGCTGCTGGAGGATTCGAGATCACGTCTGTACATGCCCTGGACAGAGCCTGGCACATACACGAATGACAATAAGAGCTACGTGGGAAGGACACCAAAAGGCACTCTTGGTGCCAAAGGAAAATGGTGGCTGCACTGCTCCACTGGGCATGCGAGACTTCGAGACGGTAAAGCTGAAGATGCTGAGAATCCTTCCCAGGCGTCCACTCGTGCCCCAGGTCGCCGTCCAGGGAAAGCTTTAAAACACCAGGCAAAACTGCCCTGGACCCTCCAATGGACTGTTTCCAGCCCTGCCCTGGAGGGCCATGAAGTGAAGAGTGGACGGAAACTCAGGAGATTCCGATGTCCGCTCTCAGGACCCCACACTGTGGGGCTCACACCTTCGGCAGCAGGACCCATTTCACAGGCGAGCGGAATGAGGCCCTCGAGGGGAGCTGACCGAGTCACGGTCCCAGCAAGCTGCTGGCTGAGCAGGGCCACACATTCAGGACCCCGTGTGCCGCCCACTCCTGTGCCGCATCCCTGGCAGCCACAGCTGGCATTTCAGCAGAAGGGGAAGTTCCAAAGCCACTCACACAGACACAAAACTGAACAACACGTGTCAGGCCTTCGAGGCCCGCTCTCCTCCTGCCCTCTGCTGGGCGCCTGTGTCACCCAACGTGCCCCTCAGTGTGTCTGCTCTAGGTCCATGAGGAATCCCTGTAGTACGTCTCCTTAGAGTGAGCCTGCGGTCAGCCTCGCCCCGTCAGGGGCTGGGGACACGGCAGGTGGAGGCGGCCTCCTGCTGTCCCTGCCATGGCCCGTAGGGTGGCGTGGGCATGGGGATGTCCCACGGGCTCCAAAGTCCTCCTGTCCCGCCAGGCCCCCCACCCTGCACCCCGTGTCACCAGTCTGCCTCCCATCGGCCTGCCCAGGGCACCTCGTGCTGCCCCAACTCCAGACCAGAACCCGCTGCCGAACCGGAGAAGATGTGCGCTGAGCATGGCCACATCTCACCTCCCCACGGAGGTCCGAACCCGTCCACATCTGTCCTTCCCTCGGAACCTTCCCTCCGCCCTGGGTCCACATGATTTCCTTCTCTCCCATAGGTCCCTCTGTAAAAATGTTTACAGTCGAGATACATTTCACACACCATAGAAATCGCTCTTTCAAAGTGCACAATTCAGGGGTTTTCAGTCTACTCACAAAGTTGTGCCACCATCACCGCTATCTAATTCTACACCAATTTCATCCTCCCCCAGGGAACCCCCATACCTGGTAGCAGTCACCCCAGTCTCCCCAGCCCCTGGCAACACGCCTCTGTTTTCTGTCTCTGTGGATTTGCCTGTTCCGGACGTTTCATATAGATGGAATTGCACACCACGTGCCCTTTGTGTCTGGCTTCCTTCTCTTATATACTGTTTTCGAGGTTCACCAGGTGGTAGCATGTAACATACTTTGTTCCTTTTCACGGCTGCATAGTGTTCCAGTGCACAGATGGCCACGTTTTCTTTACCTGCGCATCGTCGATGGACAACTGAGTTGTTCCCGCTTTGGCGATTGTGCGGACTGCCGCCATGAACACGCACGAACCAGTTTCTGTGTGGGTGTGCTTTCAGTCCTGGGCACACTCAGGGAGTGGAAGTTACACTTGCCTTGTTGTTAATAATTCCAATATTGGATGTGCCCCGTTTCACCTGCTATGAGGTCTCCTTTCATCTCTGGGACCCAGCCAGCTGCAGAGCCTTTCCCGCTGGGCAGGTGTGCCCCTGAGTCAGAGGAGGGGGTCCGGGGCAGGGAGCTTGGTGCTGCAGCGTCTGACGGCACAGCCACGCCCCCTTGCAGGGCTGTCACCAGCCTGGGATGAGCCTGTGAAGGCGCCCAGCACACAGTAGGGCCACAGTTAACAGAGGTGACGCCTGCAAGACAGACACATTTGGCGTCACTGTGGGCCCCTCTCTGCCTTTAGGAGAACCCCACATCCTTGCCTTTTGCAAATGAACGAGGAGGCAGGAGTGTGTGTGTGAAAACTCGTCCACGTGAGAGGAGAGGAGACAGCTGGCCCCAGTGGGCAAGGGGAAGAAACAGGTCCTTACAATGCAATTTTTATTTGAGAAAAATAACAAAACCCCAAACCCGACCATTTCCTGCCCCCAGCCTACCAGACTGGCAGCCGCTCCCCCCTCATCCCTCCAGGCGGCTTTTCCCATCTGGGTCCTGCTCCCTTATTGGGGACCCGGGGCCACGGAACCTGCCAAGGGCTCACTCCTCTCGGAAGTGAATGAAGAAGGTCCGGATTTCCTTCGGGCGGATGGTGACGTTGGGGCTTCCCTGGGGTGGCGAGGGAGAGTCAGAGCCTCCTGGGGGAGGATACGTGTTCCGTCCAGCACTGCCCCTCGCAGCCGCCTCCTTCCCCAGGACGCCTCCTCCCAGCATCCCTCTGGCAACACGGCACCTGCCTAGTTGGTTGTGGCTCCCACCGTGATGAGGGCCCTTGGCTCCCCCTCCTGCCAGTGGGCCTCTTGAATTTCTGCCCTCCCCTGAGGGCCCAGCCCGAGGTGGAGGGTAACATTTAGGTTGGTCCTAGCCCTGCTTGACCTCACTTCTCCACGGGGTTGGTACTCAACGCTTAAGAGCTTCCTCACTGAGGCCACTGGGGAGCCCTGCCCTTTATCTCACTGGCCTCCCGAGAAGTCATGCCCTGGGGTTCAGGCTTCACCCTTCACAGGGAGCCTGTTCATCCATACATCCACCTATCCTTCTATCATCCATTCATCTTCCTTCCTTCCTTCCATCTATCATCCACCCATCCATCATCCATCAATCTCACATTCTTTCTTCCTTCCATCCATCCATCATCCATCCATCTTCCTTCCTTCCGTCCATCCACCATCCATCCCTCTATCATCCACCTATCCACTCACTCATCTTCCTTTCTTCTTTCCTTCCTTCCATCCATCCATCATCCATCCATCCTCCATTGACCAAGTGCACACCCATGCATGGCATGAGGATGGACAAAGAGGAGATGCGTGGATCAGAGGAAACATGGGAGGCGGGAGAGCAGAGGAGGCACCTGAGCCAGCCCTGGACTTGGGGGAGCTTGAGCAGGAGCTGGCCAGCATGAAGGGGATAAGGATGTCCTAGGCAGACGGAACAGCGCTGCAAAGGCTGGGGGGCGTGAAGCTGCCTGCGCTTCGCAGGAGCTCAAGGTAGCGTGTGCCGTGTGAGGCACAGCACGGCGAGGTCAGAACCTCTGGGGCAGGCTCACAAGTTCCGGACTCACCCAGGGCACAGGCAGGGGGTGTGGTCTGCACGCGTGCACACAGACAGCCTGGTGGGAGCCCTGGCAGGTAGACACTGACCCGAAGCCTTTCTTAACCTACTGTGGTAGACTCAAGAAGGCCACAGATTCAGAGAGGGAAAGCAGCCTGCTCAGGTCACACAGGCCGTAAGAGGCAGAGCTGGGATCCCAGGTGGGGCCTGAACCAGGGGCCCCCGAACCTCTGTGTTGGCGATCATCCTGCGTCCTCCAGCTCCAGCGGTGCAGCGTGTTCACGTCCCAGGTCCCTGTGAGCGAGCGCTCCTCCACCGCCACCACGGACCCCAGCCCCCGCAGCACGGCCTGGAGGGACAGGAGCACAGGGAGCGGGAGCTACCCCGAGGCCCCAGATCTGAGCAGAGAACCAAACAGCAGCAAGGGCGGTAAGCCCAGGCCCTGGGCCTCGCTCCTAACACACCTCCCTCATCCAGTTCTCACAGCAAATCTCCAAGGACAGGACCGCAGCCCCATGTCACAGATGAGGAAACAGGGCCGGCTCCCTGTGTGGCTGAGCTGGAGGAGCATGCCAGGGGGTGGCAGGCGCTCGGAGCTGCCTCCAACATGAGTCCCCCTTCTCCCCAGCACTGCTCAGGTGGCGCCACCCCAGCCCCGGGGCTGCGGCAGTCACAGTCCCATGCAGAGAGGGAGGCAGGCGGCCAGCCTGGCTACTGTGAGAAAGGGACCGTCTGCTGCCCCGGAGGGCTGGGCAGGGTTCTGCAGCAGCCTCCCTGTGCTGTAGGAGGAGAAGGCATCAAGGGCAAGGCCCTCTTTTCTGCTCCATCCAACCTCCTGCCTTTACATCTGCTTGTGAGGCCAGCCTCTGACCATCGGCACCGAGCAGGAAGAGAAAGAGGCCCCGTGCCGGCAAAGGCCAGCAGGAGGAGGAAGGTGAGCCAGTTCCTGGGGACAGCGCCAGGCAGCTGAACGGCTGAGGGCCACGGCCCACCCTGGACTCTCCTGCTGAGGAAGCACCCTGCGCCCTGTGTAAGCACCGCTGGCCGGTACACTAGAACATGTGGCCACACGGATTCCTAACTGACAAACGCTCTCGCCTCCCCACCACCACCCACATCCGGAAGCAGCGTGTGGTGTCCGCCCCAACCATCGCCTCCACTCAGGGCCTCCGTGCCTCCACCCGTTCAACGGGGCAGCACAGGATGACCCACTCCCAGGTGCATTTGTTGTCCCTGCACCTGTTAACACACTCGCCCAGGGCCTTGGAGCACAGACGGCTCAGACCTGCTCTCGGCCCGCAGTGGGTGGGAGCCTGCTGAGGAGCGTGCCCGCCCCCACCCTGCCTGCACACGTCATCGCCCCAGGGCTCTGGGCAGCCCTTGGGACAAAGCCGTCCTCCCTCCCCACTTGGGGGTGAGGAGGCTGAGGCCCAGAGGCACGGGCCGCCCGTGATGCCCAGCAAAGGGGCCGGGACTTGGACCCCAGACTGCCTGACTCTGAATCACCCTCAAAGGAATTCCGTGCGAGAATCTGTTTTGTTTTCTGATCACACAAACAATATCTGTGTTGTTTAAAAAGTTTTACAAAAAACAAATGGGAAAGAAATAAAATGCAGTGAAAAACAAAGAGGGTGGGTGGTGCGCCCCCTTGTGCCCCCAGAGCCCATCCCAGCTTCCTTCGCAAGCACACCCTGATGCATCTCTTTACTGAGGTCCTTTTCAAGCCAGGATGGCCACACTTGGGGTCTGCGCCCTGGAGCGGGGTCTGCCTGGGGAGGACCGACACGGGGGACTGGGGGGGGACATGAGGTGGGGGGCGGTTTACCTTCAGATTCACTGTCACCGGCTGAGACAAGACTGAGTCCCCCTCAGCCTCATACAGGTGGTGGAGCCGCAGCAGGACACGGTGGAGGTGGGCCTTGGCCCCTCCTCGATGGCCTCAGGGACAGAAGGAAGGTGGCAGTGAGGACCCCCATCTGTGCCCAGTGCTTCCCACACTCACCCCATTCCACATCCTCAACTCCTACGTGTATCTTTCATATCCTGTGAGGCAGCTGACTCGGCCCCACTTAACAGCCAAGGAAACACAGGCTCAGAGAGGGGCAGTGACTTGCCCAAGGCCACACAGCTGTGTGCAACAGAGGGAGGATTCCAAGGCCTCCTGACACCCACACAGGGGCCGACGCCGACGGGTGGAGAGTCTCAGCCATCCTTCCCTGCTGTGGTCATCATGGGGCCTGTCTTAAATCTTCCAGTTCTCTGGAATATTCTCTCCTTCTCTGCCCCATGAGGTGTGGCGTGGCCACGTAATCCTGAGGCGAAGGTAGAGTGAGAGGAAGTGAGGTGTCACATCCCACAGGAGCGTCCTCCCGCCTCGGTGATGGAGGAGCGCGTTGCCACACGGCCTCTGTCTGCCGGGTGCCCGGTGACCACGTGAAGGGCCTTCCTGCCGACCCCTGGACCCGCGGCACGGGTGCTTGCCCTGTGTTGGGACCGGGAGGGTCTGGGGCTCTTTGTCACGGCAGCATGAGGTCTGCACGAGTTCCCGGGGCCGAGGTCAGGGATCCAAGCTCCAGAGTCAGGCCAGGCCTGTGCCTCCTGACGATGGCGACGGTGACAACGGTGAGACTCCAACTTCCCAAGGTGGCTGTAGCATCTGGGGAAGCAGGGGACCCTCCCACCACCCCTGGTGCTCCCCTCGCTCTGCCCCTCACCCACCCCCCCTCCCCAGGAGGAGGGGCTTTCTCCTCGTCGTCCGGTCTGGGCCTCACTCGGCTCAGCGCTTTCCTCCCATTTGGGCACAAGCTGCCCACAGAAGGCGCGTGCTCAGCAGAGCCTGGCCACGCACACAAGCAGGAAGGGCAGGCACTGACCCTGGGGGGAGGCCTCCCGGCCCAGCGTCCCCGGGGACAGGCGGGGTTGTGACACTGGGGTCGAGGAAGCCACTTAGCTGCAGAACGAGCCACGGCCTGCAAGATCCGCTTTATCAGGGACAAGGGTGTTATTTGGTCTCTTGCTTCTTCCTTTTCCTCTTTCTCGATTCTGCAGACTCTTACTGAGCTGTCTTCGGGGGGGGTGCCAGGCCCTGGGAGGGGCTCCAGGGACACGAGGGTGGCTGAGGCATAGTCAGCCCTGACTTTGAGCTCCTCATAGTATAAAGGGACAGACAGGGAGCAGCTGGAGCTTTGGCAACAGGAAGAGTTGGGTCCTGTAAGGTGTAGCCTCCTCCAGGAAGCTTTCCCTGATGCCGTCTGGGAGCTTGCCTCTGCTCACTGTCGTCACTATCTGGTGACTTGGCTGCTTCCCCCTCTAGACTGACAGCTCTAGGAACCCAGGGACCTTAGCTATGTTGGTCACTGCTCACTCCCCTGTGCTTGCTGCAAGAGACATTTATTCAGTGAACAACCAGAGGCTCCAGACAATCAGGCTGCCTGAGCTCAGAGGACGAGTGGGAACTCAAGTGTGCAGGGCTCCAGGAGTCGCCCCTGGAGGAAGCAGAGCTGGACTGCAGCCTGAGGGTGGGTGTGGGATGGACAATGGTTCTGGGCTGGGGATGGGGCTACAAGGGATCCATCGGAGAATGGTGTGGGCAGGTCCTGGGCTGGGGTCCAGGACCACCTTGTCCCTGGCTTGCTGAGTGACCCTGGTCACTCACTGCCTCTCTGTGGGCCTCATTCTCCCCATTTGGCAGATAAAAGTACCAGGTGACCTCACAGAGCCGTGACACCCTGAGGGGAGCCCCCTCTGTCTGGTGACGGGCTCCGGGGCCTGCCGACATGGGGCGGGAGGAGTGAGTCTGGCCCGCTGGCCGCCCGCCTCACCTTTCTGGAGACTCTGCAGGTGCTGTGTGTGGTTGGAGCTGTAGTTCCAGCCGGGGATGCTCAGGATCTGCAGGTGAAGACTGGGGGGGCAGCACCACAGCCTCTGGCTTCCAGGGGCCTGGGCTATTCGGGGCCGTCTCTGCAAGGCAGACAGACGGAGCATGGAGACGGTGAGGGCCAACTCCTCCTGGCCTCCGGAGCGCTCCACAGCGCGGCCCCCAGTCCAGCCGATCTCCCACCCTCCCCACCTGCAGACACACCGCCGTCAGCCTGAAACATTTGCTGGTTCAAACGCCCCAGGATCGGCTTCCCGCTTTCCCCATCCTTCCACCCGGATGCCCTCCCTCCCGCACGTCCAGCTGCTCCAATCACAGAGTCTAGGAGCTGAAAGAACCTTGAATAGTCTGGCCATTTCAAGGTGCAGGTGGGGAGCTGAAGGCCCAGAGAGGGGTCACACGGCAAGTTCAAGCAGAGCGCTGTTTTCTATTCAGGGTCTGGGATGGCAGCTCCTCCCTTGTTTTGTCATCTCTAGGTCTCTCTCCTGGAAGGCGCTTCAGCCCCCCGCCTCCTCCTTCCAGGAAACGCTCTGTTCAACTCTGGGCTTCCAGCTGGAGCTGCCATCGCCTCACAACACCCCAGGCCTCAGGGCCTGGTCCAGGCTCGGGTCACATGACCCAATCAGGACCAATCAGAATCTTTCCCTGGGACGTCTGCACTTGACATGGGAAAATCTGAGTCTCAGTTCCTTCTGGGTTGGGGAGACACACAGCCCCAGGAGTGCTCACGGCCATGTCCCAGCTAGGAGGAGAAGGAAGGGCTGCCAACGGAGAGAAGCACAGGTAAGGGGAGGGGGGCGGGGGAGGGGGCAGCCTCAGGAAGGCTCCAGCCCGCGAGGCCCGGTTACACCCCTGCCCTCCCTCAGTTATGTCGGCCTCAGAATGAAGTCTCCTTGTGGCTCCGCTGGTTCACACTGGGTTTCTGTCACTTGCAACAACAGAGACCAGAGTGGGGCCAGACGGACGGAGCTGACAACAGCCACGGAGCTTTCTCAGATACAGCAACATGCCCCTCTGTGGGAAAGGCTCCTACTGCCGGGAAGCAAACATCGACTGATCCAGGAGCAGCCCCGGACCCTGCCAGGCCAGGCAGGTTCCCTCTCCTGGGAATCTGAAGTCTGGGACATGGAAGCGTCTGGGCAGTCATCTCAAAGGCAGTCTTGGGTGAGATGAGCACGAACACCTGCTCCTCAGAGGCCCAGAGCCGCCCCGCCTCCCAGCAGCCAAGGCCTCCTGTCCAGCTCTCCTTTCCTTTCCCCAGGCTCTGCCCGAGTAGCCGACCCTTCAGTTTCTGTTACTTCTGAACAAGAGACCTCAACGGACATCCCTCAGAGTTGATCCCTGATCTCCTCCCAGCTTATAGTCTGACACTCTCCCAAATCCACAGAGCTCCAGGCCCTCTCCTCAGCACCACTCCCTCTCCACCTGGAATCCTGGACCTGAACGAGCACGTCTCCCAACGGATAGCTCCTGAGAAATCCTTCAGGAGGGGGGCTGGGCATCACGCATCCACAGCATGCTGCACACAGCAGGCACTCAATAAACATTTGTTGCATGAGCAAGCAACAGCCTAGCTGCTTGCTAATGCCTTGGGAAAGTTCTGGCTCTAAAGCTGAAGCACGGGGCCAGCCGGGTGGCACAGCGGTTAAGTTCACATGTTTCACTTCTTGGCGGCCCGGGGTTCGCCGGTTCAGATCCTGGGTGCAGATATGGTACCGCTTGGCACGCCATGCTGTGCTAGGCGTCTCACATATAAAGTAGAGGAAGATGGGCACGGATGTCAGCTCAGGACCAGACTTCCTCACCAAAAGGAGGAGGACTGGCAGTAGTTAGCTCAGGGCTAATCTTCCTCAAATAAATAAATAAATAAAGCTGAAGCACTCTATGGAAGTATGGGTGGAGGCAATGCATAAGCTTTGCAGATCAGACCATGGATTGGAATCACCCTCACCTGATGACAGCATACCTAGATTCAGATAAAACTAGCCTTTTAAATGCCGAGCTCAGGACCAGAAGTAACATGGTGATATATGTCATAATTAAGAAAGAAAAAGACACATCAGAGCAGAACATGGAAGAGACTCATGGAAAAGGGGTAAGATGACACGTGTGAGTCCCCGCTCTGCACTTATGAGCTGTACAACCACGAGCAAGCTGCTCAACTTCTTTGCATCTCAGTCTGCCCATATCCCAAAGGAGAGGATTGGATCAGAGGTCCCTGACGCCCCTTCCTGCCCAAAAGTTGCCCAGATCCCTGAGGGCACAAGCCCTTGACCAGGTCAGCTCGTTCTGGGGTGGTGACGACAGGTGCTCTGAAAGGACACCCCCTTACCGGTCAGCTCTCCCAACAGCACTATGGGCCTGTGCTGCAGCGCCAGCCCACTCCTCGGGTGCAGGTCAGCGATGCCGGGCCGGGGTCCCAGCAGGAGCCAGAACAGGGAGCGGGCCGTCGAGGTGTCGTTCAGCGTGAGGCCACGCTCTATGGCCCCCATGTGGCCGTTCCACAGCCGCCGATGGAGCATGACCTGCAGGGCAGAGTGCCTGACGGGCCCGCCTCAGCCTGGGCACGCCCATGGGTGGCCGTGAGGGGCCCCCTCCTACCTCCACCTGCCCATCCTCCTGGCTGGAGACGCCGTGGGCCTGTTCCGACAACAGCACGAGCCTGCTGCCACTGTCCTCGATGAAGGCCGACTGCACCATGGGGTAGTAATTCTGTGGACACAAACAGCGCCAGGCTGGCAGCGGGGACAAAGGGCGAGGTGGGCCACCTGGTCACAGATCACCCTCTGGGCACCCCGGCCAGCGCGTCCAGGGGCCCAGCAGCAGTGCAGGGCGGCGTGGGGCCGTGTGGGGTAGGGGCTCTGACTTTGGAGACCGGCAGACTGGGCTTCAAATCCAGCTCCACAGCTTCCTGACCGTATGAGCTGAGGGACTTAGCCTGTCCAAGCCTCGGTTTCCCCATCTGTCAAACAGGGCCCAAAGACCCACTCCACACGACGGCGGCAGGGAGGGAGGGAGAGACGGAGGGTGTGCCAGTCCAGTCTGACAAGGGCCCTTGGCCGGCAGGTGCCAGACAGAGAAAGGCCCGGTCTGTGCAGGAAAGGCAGGCACGTGGCCATGCTCTTTGCTCTGTTGGAGAAAGATGTCCTGGGCTGGAGGACGTGGACAATCAAGGGCCCCAGGCGCAGCGGGTGACAACTAGCAAACAGAGATGAAAGGGAACAGAAACTCACCGAAAGCAGAGCAGGGTGGGGACACCCACTTGCAGGGCCCCCGGGGAAGGAAAAGAGAAGGGACACTCACTGAGGGCATGTGAGGGGCCCAGGGCCACGCTGCCCCGGACTTCCCCAGCTGACCTCTCTGCTCTTGGGGTGGGGGGGAGGGGGGGGCGGGCCGGGCCGGCTCCGGCCTTTCCCAAGAGGGCACTGGGGAACAAAGCAGTTGCCCGAGGTCACGCGTGCTTGGCTCAGGGCAAAGGATCTGGGAGCGGAACCTGACGGCTGCCCTGAGGCCACGCCCACCACCTGCCAGCCTGTGGGCAGTGTTCTCAGCCAAGAGCAGCTGAGGGGGGTCTGGCCTCACGCAGCCCTGGACAGGCATCAGCTCATGAGTCCCCAGGACGAACCTCTGAGGACCCACTCATCTCACAAAAGAGGAAACTGAGGCACAGACAGGATGCCTCGGGGCCTTTCCTCAACCCAGGGTGGCACCAGAGTTCAGATGCCAGGTCTGCCCTGAGCCCAAGCCTGAGTCCCCTTACGGTGCACATGCATGATGTACAGCAAGGGGCTCCGACAGAATTCTCTCCAGAGGCCCCTGCTGCTACTAGCTGGGAGTTAAACCGTGTGCTCTGGCCTTCTGGAAAAGCCCCATCAGGACTGCATCTGTGGGCGCTGTGCCCCCGGGGCGGCGCAGGACGAACCCGAGCGATTTTGTTCTTCTCATGGTGCTGGAAGAGCCTCCGCTGCATCTGGTAGCCGTTGTTGTCCGAGTAGAGGACCTGCTGGCTGTTGAGATCCGTGCTGGTCCTCAGGATGGCCTCGCGGTTCATATTCAAGGGGCCCACCTGGTACTCCTGCTCTATGCGACGGCACAGCAGCTCCCCGTGAGAGTCCTGCGGCACGTGGGCAACCCGGGAGAAGATGGCGTAGGAGTGATACTTGGCCGTCACCGTGCTGGAGAAGCAGGATCCGCAAGTCACACTCTGGGAGCCTTCTGGATGCCCCTCCCTGCTTTCCTTCCTTGTTTCACTCCCTCCCTCCTTCCCGCAGGCCAGGTGCGCGGGCGGCCCTCTTAGGCAGTAGAATGGGGGGAGCCCAGTTCCCTGATACTGCGGAGCTGCCAGGCCAGGCCTGGACGGCTCATGTCTGTTACTGTTAACATAAGCACTCCTCTCGTGTGTAAGTCATGGCCACTGTGGGTTCCTGTCCCAGCTCTGAACTTAGGAACCACCCACTGTGACACTTGCAAACGGAGCCACTGTGTGCAGAGACTGGGGCAACACATTTCCTCATCAGATTTGCATCGATCGATGACCCTGTGCCAAGCGCAGGTCCAGAGGCTGGGTCTCTGGAGCAAAGTCGGGCCCTCATCCCCTCCTTGACCCGCGGGCGTGCGCCTGCTGCATGCTGGGCCCAGAGGGAGGCCCGGCGCACCTGTAGAAGTACTGCCGGATCTCGGTCACGAGCTCCCCCTCCACGATCTCCAGCCTCACGGCTCCCCACGATGGCTCTGCGGCCTCTTCCGGGGTGAACAAGTAGTTATCAGACAGGTTGGGCTCACCCAAATTAAAGTTGACGTGGTACTCCATGAACTCCTGGGTCATGTATACTGTTCGGTTACTCTGTCTGCAGAGGCAGGATAGCGAGAAGAGTACTAGCATCATGGACAGTGTCTCCGGGCGCTATCCTCAGGGACCAGGCTAACAGCCCCTCTGTGCAGACACCAGCTGCGAACCAGGATTGAGGGAAAACGACCTGTGCAGAGCCTAAGCGACAGTCACGAGGCCACCAGATGAAGCTCGTGCACTTGGTTCAGATAAAAGCCCTTTAGAGACCCCCACCACCCCGCCCAGAGCCAGTGTGGCTTTATATTCCTTCCATGTCCCTGAGCGGACAAAGAAGGGGAAGAGAGGCTGCATAACGGGGGCCAGTGAGCCTAAGCAGAGGGTGCCGGTGGCGCCACAGAGGCTACCCACCCCCGGAGCCGCTGCCCGTCATCCCTTTTCCTTTCAGCCCCTAAACCAGCACAAGGATGGATTTTTGTCACACTGACTCCGAGCTCCCGGATGTCACACGCCAGGGCCTTCACTGGCTTCACCTGGTCAATTCTCCTGACCCCTCAGGCAGGGATTATTCACCGATTTCACTACCAACGCACACATGCTGGGGGAGGGGACGTCGCTTGCCCATGCTCACACACCTAGGAAGTGCACAAGCCAGGAGGCAGATCCAGTTCCCACTCCGCAGTCTGTGCTCCCTCCGCTGTGTTAGGATTTTCGGGTTCAGAAGAGGATGCGGGCAGAGTGGAAAACGGCTGAGAGCCTTGTAGACGTGTCTTTGGATCGCAAACCCAAACAAACACACAGGGATACATTTGTCCCGGAGCTTGGCCCTGCCTGGCTGCAGAAGAGGAAGAAGTAATGCTTCCCCACCCACTTAGGGATTTCTGCGGGATTCTGAGGGGACTGGAAAGGAAAAGGAGCACCAGAGAAGGCCCACCGAGCTCCTCTGGAGAGGACAGAAGAGAAAAGCATCCTTTTCCTTAGTGTGTACCCAAAGCTTTTCCCATCTGGCCCCAGGCTCCCCACCCCTGGCTTCCTTTCAGAGCTCCCCCCAATCCATCAAGAAAGGGAAAAGTCAAGAAACAATCCTAAAATGTGTATGGAACCACAAAAGACCCCGAATAGCCAAAGCAATCTTGAGAAAGAAGAACAAAGCTGGAGGCATCATTCTCCTTGATTTCAAACGATATTCACAGCTATAGTAATCAAAACAGTATGGTGTTGGCATAAAAACACACACACAGACCAATGGAACAGAACAAAGAGCCCAGAAAAAAACCCACAAAAATATGGTCAATTTATAACAAAGGAGCCAAGAATATACAATGGGGAAAGGACAGGCTCTTCAATAAGCATTTTTGGGAAAATTGGATGGCCATGTGCAAAAGAATGAAACTGGACATCGATCTTACACCATACACAAAAATTAACTCAAAATGGGTTAAAGACTAGAATGTAAGACCTGAAACTATACAACTCCTTGAAGAAAACATAGGCCACCTCGACAGTGGTCTTGGCAATGAATTTTTGCATTTGACACCAAAAGCAAAAATAAGTAGGATACAGCAAACTAAAAAGCTTCTGCACACAAAGGAAACCATCAACAACAGGAAAAGGTCATCTACCAAACAGGAGAAAATATTTGCAAATCATATCTGATAAGGAGTTAATATCCAAAGTATAGAAAGAACTCATACAATTCAATATCGAAAGAAACCGAACAATCTCATTAAAACATGAGCAGAAGAAATGAACAGACATTTTTCTAAAGAAGACATACAGATGGCCAACAGGTACATGAAAACATGCTCGACATCACTAATCATCAAAGAAATGCAAATCAAAACCACAACGAGATACCACTTCACGTCTGTTAGAACGACTGTGATAAGAAAGACAAGAAATAACAAGTGTTAACGAGGATCCGGAAAAAAGGGAATCCCATGCACTGTTGGTGGGATTGTAAATTGGTGCAACCACTATGGAAAACAGCATGGAGGTTCCTCAAAAAATTAAAAATAGAATCACCACATGATCCAGCGATTCCATTTCTGAGTATTTATCTGAGGAAAATGAAAACACTAATTCAAAAAGATACACGCACCCCCTTGTTTACTGCAGCATTACTTACAACAGACAAGACATGGACACAGCTTACATGTCTATCGGTGGATGGCTGGAGAAAGACAATGTGGCGCACACACACACAGAGTGGAATATTATTCAGCCATAAAAAGAAGGGTATCCTGCCATTTGCTACAACATGGTTGGACCTCGAGAGTACTATGCTAAGTGAAAGGTCAGATAGAAAGACAAATACAGCATGATTTGAGTTGTATGTGGGATTTAAAAAAAATCCCAGCTAACAGATACCGAGAACAGATTGGCAGTTGCCGGGGTCGTGGGGCGGAGGGGGTGTTGAGAAATGGGTGAAGGGGGTCAAAAGCTACAAACTTCCAGTTATAAAATAAATAAGTCCTGGGGGTGTAATGCACAGCATGGGGAATATAGTTAATAATACTGTATTGTATATTGAAAGTCGCTGAGAGAGTAAATCTTAACAGTTCTCAGCAGAAGAAAAAACATTGTGTACCTAAGTACAGTGACGGATGCTACCTACACTTGGCCTCACTGCGGGGATCGCTCCACAACACGTGCAAATACTGAATCATTCCACTGCACACCTGAAGCTAACATGATGTTATATGTACTATACTCATTATCACACGTCATTAAACAAACGCCCTATTCCCATAGAAATTTATCTCTGACCCCCAGATCCTTCTGTTTAGCTTTTTAGTCCAACAGCATCATTATTTGCATAAATGGACACCCTTTCCCAGCAAAGTCAGAGTGTTCAAATAACAGGGACTTACTGTTGGATGTGTTTAACTGAGCCGAGCACGGCAAGGCAACACTTCGCTTCAGGATGAAAAAAAAACCAAAGCAAAAAAGAATAAAGTCTGGTCCCAATTTTCCTATAAAAAGATCACTTCAAAGACAGTTTTTTAGTTGTTGTAACTTATGAAAAATATATTAAAACCATTCTTTGATATGCAAGACAAATCTGATTTATCTTATTTGTCTTAATCTATAGAGCAAGAATTTTTAATCTGGGGAACATGGAGCATCAAGGAGACCGCGGATCAAATTCAGGAGGCCCCCCGACGCGGGTGAATAAAATCATACCCTTGTTTCCACTGACCCATGACTGACTTAGCCTTTCCTTCCATTCTGAACACAGGCCACAAATTTCAGTGCTGTGAGCAGAACCTGTGACTGTGTCGTCAGAAGAAAGCACAGATTTATAGCACGTTATAGCTGCTGCAAATAGTTCAAAATATTTATATTCACCACTACTTTAAAATTAGGATAACAAGGGGCCGGCCCGGCGGCATAGTGGTTAAGTTCGCATCTGTGCTTCAGCGGCCTGGGGTTTGCAGGTTCGGATCCTGGTGGTGGACCAGCACCACTAATCAAACCACGTTGTGGTGGCATCCCATATAAAACAGGGGAAGACTGGCACAGACGTTAGCTCAGGGCCAATCTTCCTCACACATACACACAAAAGAATTATGATTAACAATTAGATAATAATACATCCTATTATCAAATGTGTTGAAGAAGGGTATATATTACGATTTGTTTTTATTATATTTTGAGAATTCTATTTAAACATAATACATTTCCTTTAATCTTAAGTATTTCCTTTTATACTTTTAATAACATTATTCAAAATAGGGGTCCACGTTTCACCAGGTGCCATCAGAGGTCCACGGATCAAAACTGCTTAAGAACCTCTGCTGACCAGAAACATATTCACTGGCAAAAAAATGTCTGATGACTTCTTGAGATAGACACAAAGAACATCACACTTAGGAGAATGAGCCTTGATGAGTCACTAACGGGAAACTTTGCGTGGGCAGCCCTAAGAGAAATGGGGACAAGCATCTCTGAGGCAGCTCTCCTTCAGCCCTCTGAGCTCAGGGCCCTTACCCTGCCTGGCTGGGGATGCCCAGGACCCCTCTGGAGAGCAAGTGGTCTTCCTTCCTTCCCTGGCAGTTTTCAGCTGTGGAGACTTTTTTCCAACACTGTTGAAACCAGGCCTCCGCGGTCAGGATGAAGTAAGAAGGGTGGGGATGCTCTATGCTCCCCGGGAGAGTCATCTACCTTGTAACAGAAGCTCTGTGGAGACAGAGTGCAAACCGACCACAGCAAATTCTCAAAGGTGAAGAAAAGAGACAAGAACCATGCACAAAAGGAAAAAAAAGGAGGGGAAAAGTCAAACCACGGAATTGGAGAAGATTTGCAAGTCATGTACCTGGTAAAGGACTTTTATCTAGAAAATATAAAGAACTCTTACAACTCAATAATAAAAACCCAGTTTTTAAAATGGGCAAAGGATCCAAATAGACATTTCACCAAAGAAGATCTACAGATGGCCAACAGGCACATGAAGACATGCTCAACACCAGCTGTCAGCGGGGAAACGCAAATCAAATCCCCAAGCAGATATCACTCCACACCCACTAGGATGACTAGGATCGAAAGACAGAAAATGACGCGTTGGCAAGGATGTGGAGAAACTGGACCCGCGTACACGGCTGGTGGGAATGGAAAATAGTGCAGCCACATGGGAAGTTCCTCAATTGGTTAAACACGGAGTTATCCCTCGACCTAGTGATTTCACTCCTAGGACTCAACCCAAGAGAAATGGAAACTTAGGCCCACGCAAAAACTTGCACATGCGTGTTCACAGCAGCATTATTCGTAATAGCCAAAAAGCAGAATCAACCCAAATGCCCAACAACTAAAGACTAGATAAATATAAGCTGGTATATCTCTGCAGTGGGATATTAGTGAGCCATAAAAAGGAGCGAGGGACTCATACACATGGCGACCTGGATGAGCCTCGGAAACGTGATGCTACGTGAAGAAGCCAGCCACAGAGGACCACACGCGGTATGACTCCATTGTGTGAAATGTCCAAATCAGGCAAATCCAGAGAGACGGGAAGTAGATTAGCGTTGCTGGGACCTTGGGGGAGGGGAAAATGGGGAGCATGAGGCTCCTTTTGGGGATGACTAAAATGTTCTAAAATTGATTGTGGTGATGCTTGCACAAATCTGTGAATATACAAAAAACCAAAGACAAGCATGATTTGAATGGGTAAATTATATGGTGTTGAATTACAGCAATACAGCTGTTATATAAGAGAAAAAAGCCCCCTTCACCCAAACCTGCCCCGGGGCTGGTCTCTGCACACCGCAGCGTCCCACCTCAGGCCCCTGCACAGGCGCTTTCCCCCTATGGACAACTGTCCCCTTGTCTGTGCCCACGTACTCTCTGCCCTTCGAGGCCTCAGGCCCAGCTCAGGGGTCTCCTCCCTGCCGGCCTCCCCTGACCACCCCTGTCTCGGGTCCAACAGCTCCTTCTCCCTCTGACAACGTGTCAGGCGCTGGTGGGGCAATCCGTCCCCGCTGGGATTTCACGGGGCCTCATAAGGAACAGCCCTCTCCCCCGCCGAGAGACAGACAGGCATCAGGCAGACAGACAGCACAACACGAGCTCTACTACTGGAAAACCTGGGTCATGGATGTGGCTTACGTGTGGGGCATCTGTGGGCTGGCAGAAACGGCTGGCGAGCTGCCGTGGCCCCTGCAGGGGCGTCCTAGAAGGGACGCGGGGTCTGAATGAAGAGGGACCCCAAAGCCAGCCTGTGGGCTCCCATCTCTCCCAGCTTGCCCAGGGAGGCCCAGAATGCTGGGGCCAGACCCTGTTTCCACCCTCCCTTTCACTCTCCCTGACCACCCACGCTGGCTGCTGTCGGCCCCCAGCCTGCCACATGCTCTCTCAGGAAGAATCTGTGGAATGACCGAAGGACAGAACTTCTGACATATGTGGCTGCATGGATGAGGGGGTGGGTGAGTGGATGGATGGCTGGGAGGATGAGTGGATGGATGGGAGGGTTACTGGATGGATGGATGGATGGATGGATGGATGGATGGATGGGTGGGAGGATGAGTGGATGGATGGGAGGGTTACTGGATGGATGGATGGATGGATGGATGGGTGGGAGGATGGATGGATGGGTGGGTGGGAGGGTGAGTGGATCAATAGAATTTATGTTTCTCTAAATTTCAAAAAGTAGATAAAATGAATAGATTTTCCCCTAGGTGAGTCCCTCAACACACCCTTTTTCTATGGATCAACAGCCCTGGAATGGAAAAGCTCAAGAAAGGCTTTCCTGCACTGGCCTAGACTCACATTCCTAGAAATAAAGACAGTATTACAGAAAGGGCCTTCACCACCATCTGATTCTTCCCCCAAGCAGCTGAGGAAACAGAGACCCCAGGTGGCAGTATGACACGCCCAGGCCCCAGGGCATGCCTCCTCCTCAGAGCCAGCAAGGGCTGTGTCTCACTTCTCCCAGATGCTGTGCATCAGGTTGGTATTCAGGTCCATGAACACAGTGTAACAGTCATTCTTCACGGACACCAGGCGGCTGCTCCTGGCCTCCGTGCGTCTCCTTGGCCTGAGGCGAAACCTCAAGGTGATAGCCTTGGTGGTGGCCGTCTTCTCGGTGTCCTCCTGGGCCTCCTCAGTGGGCCGGATGCTGTAGCGGTGGTAACTGACACCTGGAATCGTGGTCAGCACATGCAGGCTGGTATGCAGACGGCATCCCCTGGACCTACAGGGCCGGCAGGACAGGAGGAGACAGCGGATTTCAGGGCCAGAAGACACCTCAGTCTCCCCAGCAACCTCTGACTCGCATACCTCCTAGATGGGGTGCTCACTACCCACGATGCAATAGGGTGTTTCCACCACTGACTGTGCTGAGCTTCCCCCCACTGCATCCGCCCTGTTCAACAGGATCCAGCCACAGCCTCGTCTCCCTCCCCTGCCTCCCTCAATCCTTTAGGGCCAGATCACAAAGCACCCTTCCTCCCCAACACTCCTGCCATTTCCTGCCTCTGAGCCTTTGCTCATGCTGTTCCCTCTACCTGGAGAGCGTTTTCTTGGGAGGGGTGCCTTTGTCCCCCAATCCTCCAACTTCCCCCTGGAAGGACGTTTTCAGGTAAACCCTCCCGGCCTCTCCCCAGCTCCTTTCACTTGCTTTAGGGAGAGGGTTGGGCGGGGCCCCTGGGCACTTGAGGCGGGGCCCCCTCACTCTCTAGGGAGAGCACGCAGTCTCTGATCCCCTGTGGGAGGCAAACCCACGATTGCTGCACACTCTCTCCCACCCAGCCGTTATCTGAAAACAGCAGACTTCTCGTCCCACCCGCCCCATCCTGCTAGAGGTGATTTTCCTCCATCACAGTCACCATCGTCGGTCACATTCTGTATTTTCTTACCGAGTTTCCTGCCTGTCCCCACCTTCCACCCCGTAGGACATGAGCTCCTGAGGGCAGGGACGTCTGTCTGTTTGGTTGTTATGGGATCCCCAGTGCCTACAGCAGGGCCTGACACGCAGTAGGAACTCCAGAAATATTTAAGTGAATTTACTCTTCCTCAGTGTTGCATTTGGATAGGGGAGGGGTGCTATGTGCTGGGTCTGCTCAAACCTGCACCCCTCTCTCCCCTCCCTTTGTCAGATGAACACCTCCTTCTGCTGGCTCAGCTGAGGGCTGGTGCCCTGGCGCCCCGGCTCACCACTCCACACCTTGTGTCCATTTCAGTGTCTGCTCCCATGACCTCACATGACACTCTTGTCCAGGGACCCAGCCCCCAGCCCAGGGCCAGAAGCAGAATAGGCGTTCAGGAGTGTTTGCTGAACGACTGACTGATGGCAGCACCTCCCCCACTTCTCCAAGGACGGGTTGGCCAGGTGAGAGGTAGGGTGCCCTCTGGAACGCATGCCGGCTCCAGGCCGTGGAAGGAGATGACAAGGGAGAGGACACTTAGGCTGGTGTCTGGGTGTTGCAGAAAGAGGCAGATTGGGTCCAGCCCCCCAACATTAGCACCTCCAAAAACCAGCCCTTTAAGCCTCCTGAAGGCCTTTCCCGTGCAAAAGTGGAAATTCACATCAGAATATACCAATATTCCTGAAAGGGCATAAGGGGGAACCCCCTCTGCAGGCAGACCACGCCAAGACCCTCTGGGGAGGGGAGAGGAGAAAGGGACTTCTGGCCACGTCAGATGCTCGAAGCCCCGGGTGCGTGCCCTGGACGGGTTCCGCTGACCCTCAGTGGACGTGTGCCCGACACAGCCGTCCCCGTGGCGAGGGAGGGTCGTCACAGGTCCACAACCACATCTCGCACTCCTGGGAGAGCAGGGTCAGCAAGCTGCACGGGCACCTCCAGCAGGCTCCAGGGCCATACCTGTGCAGGCACGGGCTGGCCTGACTCGTCTGTGACGCTGGCACTGGAGAAGCCCACAGTCAGGGTGACGATGGTGGTGACCGTCCAGGCCAGGGGGTTGTAGACCACAGCAAAGTGTCCCCCGGGTTGTGGGCCTGCACACAGACAGCAGGCTTTACTTGCAGCCACTGGACTCACTCAACACACCGGGTGCCCCTGGAGAGCGGAGGTTCCACATGCTCCTCACACGCTTCTCCGGCAGCCCCACTTGACTGATGAAGAAACTGAAGCCCAGAGAGGTAGAGTCGGCTGCCCAAGGTGACCCAGCTTCCGAGGCCTGGCTCCAAAGCTTTGACTGCTGCACATTGTGAGGGACCAGAGAATTCTCCAGAGCCTGGGGGTCAAGTCCAATCACCTACCCTGGCATTTGATGCCCCTGCGATGCAGACCTGATTCCCTCCCATTCCATCCTCCACCCTCTGTGCCCCGAGCTCTGACCACGTCTGACGACTCATGGATCCCTGAACACATCACACACTCTCTAGCCCCCGAGCCTCTGCCCAGGCTGTTCCTTTGGCTGGAATGCCTCTCCTGGTCTTCTCCACTCAGCCCTTGCGTGGGAAAGCCGCCCCGTAAGCTCATGGGAATGGACCGCCCGCCCCAGCTGGCAGTGAAGTGAGACCCCAGGTTCTAGCTCTCTTTCTCGGACTGTCTCCCCTACCCGACCGCAGTCCCTGTGTGCAGGGGCCCTGTCCGCTTCACCCCTGGTCCCCAGGGCCCTTCCAGAGCCTGGAGGTCGGATGAGACTGCACGCAGACCCAGAGGCAAGAGGAGCAGGTCTGCCGAGCTGCGAGGCCAGAGGTGAGAAGTGCACAGTGACGCAGGGCAGGCTGGTGTGGGGGCCTGGGGAAGCCCTGTGCAGAGTAAGAGCTCCTGCACACACAGGGACACGACCTGTCCAGATTTGTCCAGGACTCTCCGGGTTTGGGACCCACTGGGCCCCAGGCAAACTGGTATGATCCTCACTCTACACATGCGAAACCCTCACATACAAAGAGGCCGGCCCAGTGGCTGCGCTGATGTGATTTACAGCCAAGCTGAGCTCAGGAGGGAGTGAGGGGAGCCAGGCTGGGACCTGGTCTCTGAGGAACTGCATCCTCTCTGCAGAGTGGGCAGTGCACGGCTAACAGTTTGAATCCCTGCTCTGCTCCTTCCTACCTGTGTGACCCTGGGCAAGTCCACAACCTCTCTGTTCTGCCTGGGTCCTCAGCTATAAAGTGAGGACAACAGCAGTTCCTAGCTTACAGAGCGTTGGCGAGGCATTACGTTAAACATGCATGAAGAGAACTTAACAAATGCCCAAATGGTGGTGGCAGCTATTACTCGCTCTAACGTCAACCCTTCCTCCGGTCTCGGAGAGGAAACAGAGGCTCAGAAAGGGGAAGGCACCTGCCCGAGGTCAGGCCGAGGGTCGGGCACATGACGGATGTGGCCTCAGAGTCTGAAGCTCAGGTGGTCCAGGCCCCTCTGCAGACTCCTCAGGCCCCCCTCTCAGAAGAGGGCCAGCGCCCCCCGCAGGGGCCTCTCTCACCTGAGTGGACCCGGGTCCTGTCCAGGACGATGGAGGCCATCAGCTTCTGCACGCCCTGCATCCCCGCGTGCAGGTTCTCCACGTACATCTCTGTCACCTCCGGGGTGTGAGTCCCAGTGATGCCATCGTGGTGCTGCACCTGCAGCCCCCACCGGAGCAGGGCAAGAAGCGGGTCAGCACCTGCCTCTGAAAAGCGCCTGCTGGGCACTTGGCACCCTCTGGGCGCTGGCTCTCATTCCCGTCCCCGGGTGCCAGTGGAGAAGGTGGGCGTCCTCCCTCTCTACAGAGGAGGGAACTGAGGACCAGAGAGGCTGACGAACTTGCCCACCCTTTTCTGACCTAATGGAAACCCCTGACCCGAGTCCTCTGCCTTGAGCAGACAAGAGACTTGTGGAAGGGACCCCCCACCGCCCCCTGCTTCACCTGCATGACCCAGTCTTCCCATAAGTGCCGCTGGTCCCCTGCAGGCACGCTCCACACGGGCCGTTCACGCCTCTCTGCACCGAGCTAGGGGCAGGATTACCTCTTCTTCACAGAAGGGAAACCGAGGCTCCACAAGGGGAAGCCACTTGGCCCAGCCACTCTGATGGACTTTACGGTCAACCCGTCTCACCCCCAACACAGTGACAAGTTCTGCCAGCCCTTCCCTGTAGGCGGCTGTACACATGTCACGGCCGCTGTGGCCACTTGCCAGCCGGGTGTTGAGGACAAGTTATAGGACTTGGGTCTCAGTTTTCCCACCCGCACAGGAGGGGACAAGAGGAGATGGAAACTAACGAACAGTCGCCTTTGTGGCAGCCCCCGCTAAGCGGGTTCTATACACTATCACATTCGATTATCCCACCACCAACATGGGTGGGCACGTGCTTCTCATTGTCCAGGGAGAAGGAAAGTCATCTGCCTGAGGCCACACAGCTGAGCTGAAATTCGAATCCAGGCAGGTGGACACCAATGCCGCTCTACTTTGCCCTCTACCCACTGGGGGAACGGGGCTCTAGGTTGCGGAAGCCGCCATCTGGATGCTGTCTGACTGTGGCCCTGGCCTTGGCCCCACATCCCCATGCAGGGGCCTCATGAGGAAGGGTGACCTCACTGTTCTCTTCGGTGAAGTGGCCCTCGGGTGCCCAGGGCTGGGAGGGTTTGTGAGCCTGGGGATGGAGAAGCACTCTGCACAGGAGGTGCCAATCCTGCACTGTGGCTGAGGGGCGGGGCGTTACCTCAGACACCGCCCAGCGGAGCTGTCGCAGCTGCTGCAGGGCCCAGGCCGGGTCCAGGGGTCGGAGGGGGGCCGGCCACATGAACCGTGTGAACATGGACTCCCCAGCGTACAAGAGGGCGCTGGCTCGCCTCGCCAGCCCCTTGAGCCCACTATGGGATGAGTAGAAGCCGGTCCAGGCCTCAAACGCTTCTGCAAGACAAGGGCGGGCAGTGGACATGAGAAGCCTGCACAGCGAGACAGCCAGGCCCTGGCCACCAGGACCTGAGACAGCGGGGGGCAGAGAGAGGCGGGGTCTGCCTGGGGCACCCAGAGAGGCAGCCCAGGGCAGTGATCCTGCCCCAGCCAGGCCAGGCCCTACCTGGGGCTCCTGGGAGGGGCTGGGACAGGTGGGAGGATCAGGGAGGGCCGAGGCAGGCCGGGGTGGGCTGGGTGCTGAAGGAGTGTGATGGGAGACAAGAGCCAGGGGCGAACCTGGGGAACCTGGATCAGCCCTGTGAGCAAAGGGCCTGGGGGACCTCGGGGAGGGGAGAGAAGAGAAGAGGGCCTGGTGGGCAGGAACGGAGAAGGGCCCTGACTCCTGGCAGAGGCTTTTGCACGTGACTCTGTGGGCAGTGGGGAGTCCCCGGACAGGTCTGCATTTCAGCGGGGTCCCTCTGGGAGCCCAGGGAGGACGGATGGGAGGGGGCGATGGGAGCTGAGAGCCCCCAGGAGCTGCTGTCCTGACCCTGGACAGAGAAGATGAGGCCTGGTGGAGGCAGCGGTGGGAGGAGGGAGGGCACCCACCCCATAGCTGCGTCTGACAAAGGGGCTCACTGGTCTCCACTGTTCCTGCCTCCTGCCTGCTCCAAGGACTAGGCCGTGCCTCCATTCCCTGTTGCACAGGACCCGGAGGGTTCTCCAGACCAGGAGGGGTAGCCACGTGGCTCCGGGGGCCAGAGAGACCAGGTCCCCCAAAGCTCCATCGCCACGCTGAGCGTCCACATCAGCCAGGGGCACTCCACAGCCCAAGCTCTGAGCACAGCACCAGCCGAGCCTAGAGCACCCCCAAACGCCCAGTGTCGTCTTCACCTCAGCTGGCCAGTCTCCCAGAAAATAGCGTGTCCTCCAGGAGACCTCGATGAAGCCACGCCCAGCTAAGCGCCCCACGTGACGACGCCATAGCCCCACCCCCTAGAGGTAGCCACGCCCACATGGACGTGTCCCCTCCTACCTCAACGTAACCCCGCCCACATCGATGTAGCCCCTCCCACCTCCACGGTAGCCAGCCTGCCACCAAAGTGATCCCATCCGCAGTGTCCTGAGAGCTGCGCAGCTCCAGCCTGACACCGCGCAGTTGAGAGACCTCGACCCTGAGGGGCAAGTCCTACTCAGGTCACGGGTGAGGCAGGACAGTGTCCCTCCTGGAACCAGCCCTGCAGCTGGGGTCCACCCTGGCATCTCTTTGGAAAGAGAAGAAATTGGTAGAAGGGATGTGGTCGCTGCCGAGCCTTCTCAGGGGCGTCCCTCCATCCTCCTGAGAACCCACTTCATTGACGACGAAACCTGGGCTCGGAAAGGGCATCACTTACCCAAAGCCACATAGCCCGTGAGGGGAGGAGCCGTGATCCAAACCCAGGTGTGCGTCTGAATCACTGCTTGGGGCCAACCCTCCCCCTGTAGCTGCTGGTCGGTGGGGGAGGGCAGGGCGCAGGCCCCAGGCAGGCCTGGCTCCAGACATCCTGGCCTCCGTTAACTGTTCAGCCAGGGGATGCCCTCCAAGCGTGGATCTCCTACCTGTCTGATGGGGCTAAACACACGTCTCCTCTCTCCCTTCCAAAACCACCTCTCCGACTGAATGAGCCCGTGCACGCAAGCTGGTGCTGGGCAGAGCTGACTGGGACACAGGGGCTGCGTTCGGGGCCCTGAGCTGTCCTGGGCCCTGGTGACCTGCCCCTTTCCCCCCCTAACCCCCACAGCCCCTTGCCTTCTCCTTCTGAGCAAAGGCAGAGCAGGACAACATGGACCCTCCAAGGGCTCTGCATCTTATGCAGTAAATATGTTAGATGGTTCGACAGTTTAGCCAACACTGTTCCCCACTGATGCCCCTGAGGCAGGGCCTGGGAATGGGGTGGGGGGCTTTTCCTGCCTCCTCCAGCTCTCAGCGTCGTGCTGTGCTTGGTCTAATTCCCGCCTGGATTAGCAGACAGTGGAGGCGGGGTCCATAGGGGTCTCAGGAGCAGGGGGCTCAGCCTGGGAGGAGTCCTGGTGCTGGGCTGGCTTCGTGGCACCCTGCAGGCCCTGCATTAGCCTCCTCGGCCCGGGCTGCACGGGAGAGAAGACATCGGCATTACTATCAGCTACATCTGCTGAGCCTTCCTCTGGACCAGGCACTAGGCTCAGAGCTTTTCTTGTCTCTTCATTTTTACAACTCGATGGACTAAGCACCGTTACTGTCCCCACTGTACTGAGGAAGGACAGTTCCACAACTTGCACGCGGCCAGGAAGTAGGCAGGCTGACTCCACATCTGGCCCCTTTAACCCTTAGACTGTGCTGTCTGCAGCCAGCACAGACCTGGCCTCGAGGACACAGACATGAAGAAGCTGAGGTCCCCTAACCAAGACTATGTACTACCAGAAAGGAAACTGGGGGCTCTGGGAACACGGAGGAGCCACCTGGTCTAGCCCTAATATGAGGAAAGGCTTCCTGGAGGAGGTGATGTTACAACCTATGTAGGACTTAAGAAGGAAGACAAGGTGGAAGAGGGTTACTCCTGGCAGAGAGCCCTGCACTGTGAAGGCATGGAGGCTGGAACTGACTGTGGGCCATGGGGAGAGTTGGACCTGGGGGAGCCGGGCCGTGTGTGGCAGCTGGGATGACTAGGCGGGACAGGTAGTTCGGGGCAGGGCTCGTCTCTGTCCCAGTGCCCCTCATGGGCTCAAAGTGCAAGGCTAAGCAGACATCAGGGGTGCAGAGGCTCCCTGGCACCAAATCGCCACTCCCCACGCCCAGAGACTCGTACCTGAGGAGTAGGGCAGGAAGTCTTGGTGGTCACGGACAGGCCAGGTGAGATTGAGAACGTGCAAGGCATGAAAGTAGTCGCTCAGTGTGGCGTACTCGGCGGAGACGCCGCCCACGTTCGTGTTGATGTGGTCCAGCAGGAGGTCCATGTTGCTGAGCTGCACCGGGGCGTTGAAGAACTGCTCGTCGCACCCCTGCGGCCGGGCACAGAAGCAGCCCCGTCCTTCCAGGCCCATCATCTCCCCACCAGCCTCCCCTCGCTCTCTGGGGCGGCTGCTGAAGGCCCAAAGAGCTCCCATAGCTGAATCCTCTGGACGTTTCAGGATTCCTTTTTTTAATCACGTTGCACATTTTCTCCCCATACCCGTGTGGACCTTTTGAGCACCCTCACCCAACTGCCCCGCCCCCGCCTCTGGCGACCACAAATCTGATCTCTTTTCTGTGAGTTTGAGGTTTTTTAGATCCCACATGTAAGTGAGATCACACAGCATTCGTCTTCTTCTGTCTGATTTATTTTACTCCTGGGGAGTTTCTTACAGCCCATCAGTATTACTGCTTATCAATATCATTAATATAATAATACAATAATTATTAATGACTGATAATAGCCATGACTCAAATTTACTGACCTTGACCTCATCTTCAAAAAGACAGTCAAAGTAAAAAACCCGATGAATTCCAGGAAACACACAAGCTACCAAGACTGAATCATGAAGAAATGGAAAATATGAGCGGACTGATTAGTAGTGAGGAGATTGTAAGGAGTTGGTAATAAAAACCGCCCAAAAGCAACAGTCCAGGACCCCACACATTCACTGGTGAGTTCTCCGGAACATGTAAACGCGATTTAATATCAATCTTTCTCAAACTCTGCCAAAAGTAGAAGAGGAGGGAAGAGTTCCAAGTTCATTTTACGAGGTCAGTTTACCCTGATACCAAAGCCAGGAAAGGACGCCACAAGAAAAGAGAATGACAGAGGTGGGAGGGGGAGCAAAATGGGTGAAGGGAGTCAAAAGGTACGAATGTCCAGTTATAGGATGAGTCCTGGGGTGTCAGGCACAGCGTGGTGAATCTAGTTAATAATACCGTATTGCATATTTGAAAGATGCTAAACGAGTAGACCCTAAAAGTTCTCATTACAAGAAAAAATGTGTTTGTAACTATGTGTGGTGATGGATGATAAGCAGACTTCTTGTGGTGATCGTTTCGCAATATATACAAATATCTGATCACTATGTCGTACACCTGAAACTAACATGATGTTATATGTCGATTACATGTCAATAAAAAAAGAGAGCTTCTGGATAAAACAACAAAGTTCCCCCCGAATAGTCACAGTAATTCCAAATTATCCTTGTGGGAATTTTGCCACGCAGAGTGACACAGGAAATAGAGTTAACAGTGAGAATCCACGTAAGGGTCGGGGGTCTGGCCTGGAGGAGGCAATGTCTTAAGTTTGGCCTGAGATCACCGCAAGTCCAGCTGAGGTTGTTCAAATGCGTTGCGTGTGCACCCCACATCTTGGCCCCCACCTAATGCCCAGACGGCTCCCAGTGCACATATTAAACATCTGAACTGGCGATCCCCGGGCCGCCAAAGCAGAAAGTGCACACTTCACCGTGCGCCCCCGGGCCAGCCCCCTCCTTAGGTTTTGATAGGTGACCCTGCAAGATTTGTCCAGAGATTAAAAATCTGCAGTTCCTGGGAACTGCACCTGACTCTCACGGACAAAACAGACAGGAAGAAGGCAAGTTCTCTTAGCTTCTGATGGGTGACCCAGCAAGATTTGTCCTGTGAGAAGCCAGTGTGACGTGACCTCCGGAATTCATCAGCTCTCAGGCTGGAGAAAGAGGTGAAGCCCTAAGATGTGTTCTCTTCACCGTTCTTATGGATTTGGTTGCGAGCTCACAACAAACAGTTGGAGGACGGATAGCATAATGAACAGTGGTACCGCACCATCACTGCTGGAGGGACCCCTGAGCTAATGCACCCCAGAGGAACTGCCCTCTTCCCAGTGAAGGGTCCTGAGTAAGAGCCAGCAGCAGGGCGTGACTAGGGCCCCCGGGCGTGCCAACAGCCGTGTCCTCAAAAGGGGCCCCGGAATAACACACTGACCAGGCACACCCACATTTGTGAACCCTGCAGGACTCCCCTGGGGCAGCTGCGTGCTGCCCAGAGGGCGAGGGCACGGGATGACGTTTGGGGCTTTTGTGATCTGGACACAAAATGTCGTGGGCAGCTGTTTCTGTCTTCCTTTTGCAAACATCACATTCTAGTTTGAACTGTCGAGAACATCAATATATTGTTTCTTTATTTCCTACATATACTTTAAGTTATGCCCCAAGCCTCATAAACAGTAACGTATATTTATAATATTTTGATTTAATGTCACACCAATGGGCCTACTGACCTAATGTATAGAGTTTTACTGGTTTTTTAAAAAAAATTTCTTAATATCTGCACCTATACAAAAAAGCCATAATAAATAAAAACAGACAAAAAAAAAAAACCCTAAAATGTCATTAAAAAAAAAAAGTCAAGAGTTAAGAAGGCAGGCTGTAGAGCCCACCTACTGGGATCTGAACCCAAATTCCACCCCTTCCCAGCCGTGTGGCCTCAGGCTGATTCCTTAAGCTCTCTGGTTCTCAGTTCTCTCACCTGTAAAATGGAATGCCAGTAGCGCCTGCCTCCTAGGCCCAGTGGGGCAGATGAAAAGGATAAGACAAGTGCGTCCCATAGAACAGTGCCTGGTGCACAGCAGGTACTCAACAAAGGTCAGCGATGATGTTGATGAGGACAACGACGTGGACGCCTGGGTACTGGACCCTGGGGGCCACCTCCTCTCACTTAACCTCAAAGCCAGCCCATGATCAGGTCCTGTCATTATCCTCACTTGACAGATGAGGAAACTGAGGCTCAGAGGGCTCTAAGTCACACGCCCACACGGTAGGGAGCCAGGCTTCGCGCCCAGGCCTCGGCCCTCAACACTGTGATGGGACAAGGAGAGCTGGGTGGAAGCTGGAGGCTGGCACGGGCGAGGGCGAGGGGTCGTGTTACAGGTGGGAGAGCCTGGGGTGGGTCCAGGCAGAGGCGGGAGCTGGTAGAGTGGGCGAGGCCTCGGGTGTGCAGGGAAGGACCACTCCGGGCCTGAGGAGAGCTGCCTGCGTGGAGACCGGCCGGGTCCGAGCAGGACTCGAGTGCAGTCCCTGGGCTGAGAGGGGCACACCGGGGCCTGGAACCCCGCCTTACCCAGGGCCAGAGGACGTGGGGTGTCCGGAACCAGGGGGCCCGCTCCTTCACATTGCCCACCAGGTCCTTCACATAGAGTTTGATGTTGCCTGAAGTGACAGGGGGATCCATGTCGGGGTATATCCCATTCCGAGGTGGAGTCGGGAAGACAGGGGAACCATCCCAGTTAAAGCCTCTCCTGCAAGACAGAGGAGGGTTAGAGAGGCCCCACCTTGAGAAGAAAAGTAGCCTGGGGTCGGGGAGGACCAGCAGGGCTCAGAGAGGCCACGGTGTGGCACAGGGCCTGCGGACCCACGCGGGGCCTTCGTCTCCGCATCCGTGCAAAGGGCAGGTCAGGGATGGGCAGCACGAGCTTTGTAGACGGATGCGGCTCAGATCCAGGTGCCGCGGGTCACCAGCCCTGGAACCTCAGGCACATCCCTCCGCACGGGCCCGCACTTCTTCAGCACCATGTGGAGCCCACGACCTCTGCACCCTCACTTCCATCGCCGTGGATCTGATGGGATTCGTTTGATCATTCGTTCCTTCAGGCCACATTCCAGCCCGTCAGACCCGGGGCGCAGGACCCCAAGCAGGGTTGCGGCTGGGGTGAGGCGAGCGAGGACCTGCCTCGGACGCAAAATGTAAGGGGGTGCCAAAGTCTCAGTAGACACACGAGTAATATTCTAATGCGATATTTTAAAATATAAAAATTATTGCCAAAAAAATCACGATGAACAAAATAACAAAGTTTTAAATAAAGACAGAAGCAATATTACAGATTTTCCCTTTTGCTCCAAGCTCCGATAGACTTTGGCATGGCACAGATCCCAAGAACAAGCCTTGAGGTCTGGGGAGCCCCCAGTTAGGGTCTTCCCAGCCTCAGGTCCGGCGGCATATATGGGGGGGTCCTGGCCAGCCTGCAGGAACGGCCACTTCAAACCCCTCTGAGCATCAGTCTCCTCGTCGGTAAAATGTACTCAAGGTCGTTAGGAGGATTAAATGAAAATACTGGGTGGAAAACAGCTAGAAGCAGTGCCTGGCTCAGAGCGGGGCCTGACAAATGGTCACGCCTGGCAGCGACTCTGCCGTCTGCCATCCTTCCCCCCAGCTGCCCCTTCATCCTGCCTGCTAATCTCTCCTGTTCAAAGAGGGGCTAAGCACCCGGCCCACAGCCTCACAGGTGCCAAGGGGCGGAGTGAATTTGAACCCAGGGCCGTCCAACTCCCAAGAGCCCACAGGCTGGCTGTTCCCACGACGTGGAGGCCTTGGAGCTGGCCGCCTGACTAAACGCTGGCTCTGCCACTTTTGCTAATCACCGGATCTTGGGTGAGCGACCATGCCTCAGTTTCCCCGTCTGTTAGATGGGACCCTCAGTGCATCTCCCTCAGAGGGTTGCTGTGAGGGTCCTTGCTGAGGCAACGTGGGGGAGTACTTAGAAGAGGGCCTGGCCCGAGATGAGTACTCACGAGCAGTAGCCGTACTTGTCCATGACGTGCGTGAAGATCTCCTGCTGCGCCGACAGCGATGGGGACCCTCGCCACAGGAACTGCAGTCCCTGCGAACCCAGAGGGAACAGGTGAAAGCCAGGGCGCAACGGGGCTGCCCTGGCTCCACCCCCCTCAGCCCCGCCTGGGTCTCTGTGACCGCCACCTCTGCTGCCTCCTCCTTAAGATTCCTTCCGACGCCCCCCACCCCCACGTCACATAAGATTGCAGAATTTGCCGTCCAGAAGGAGCCTGCCTGCTTATGCACCCCTCCTCCCCAGGGCATCGCTCTCTCTGCCAAGGCCTGAAAGGGATGCTCATTTCTAACTCTGCTTGCATACCCCCAGGCACAGGGAGCTCATCACCTCTCACTAAGTGTGCAGTCTGCGTTTTAACAGTTCTGATGGTTAGAAAACGTTCAGGGTTACAAAGCAGGGATAATATCCTGGTTCTATCAGCACCAGCTCTGGGACCCTACACAGGTTCCCTGACCCTTCTGTGACTTGGTTTCTGCGCAGGAAAATGGGAGAGGGCCACACCCAGCCCTCAGAGGAGCTGCAGGAGAAATGAGCTGACGGGAGAAGCGTCCAGTGTGGCGCTTAGTGGGGTCTCAGTAAACAAGTTAGCTTCCTGCCCACCTAGAGCCCAGATCCACGCTGTTCTCACTCCTGCTGGCCAGGGCTGCCCTTCACCTCCAGAACTTTATCACCAAAGTCACCCTGGACAGATACTTACTTTTGGGGCCTTAGTTTCCCCATCTGTAAACCAGAGATAATTATGATACTACCTATCTTTATGGGTTGACTGGTGCCCCCCAAAAATATATGTCAAATTCCTTCCGCAGGACCTCAGAAAGTGACCTTATTTGGAAAGAGGGTCTTTACAGAGCTAATTGAGTTAAAAGGAGGTCATTAGGGTGGGCCTTGATCCAATATGACTGGTGTCTTTATAAAGGGGAAATTTGGACCCAGACACGCGCAGCGGAAGACGACGTGAAGACACAGGGAGGAGGCGGCCGTGCACACGCTGAGGCACCCTGGAGAGCAGCAGAAGGCGAGAGAGGCCTGGAGCGGATCCCTCCCCAGCACCTTCAGAGGGCGCACGGCCCTGCTGACTCAGGGATCTCGGACCTCGGGCTCCAGAACTATGAGATGAGACACGTCTGGTTTTCGAAGCCCCCAGTTTGGGGTACTTTCCTACGGCAGCCCCGGCAAAGGCGCACCCCACCTCGGAGGGCTGCTGTGAGGACTGACTGCAGTGGAGACGAGCTCCACAGGCCGTGCCCTCCGTAAGCAGGAAACGCAGCTTCCACAGAGCTCGTTTGTCGCCGCCATTTAGTTTCATAACAGCTGCCCACCCACCGGGAGGGTTGTCCCGTCCTGGCAAACCTGATCGCCCCAGCCGTCTCCTCCAGCGCATCAGCCACGGGTGACTGAGTGCAGTTCTGCTCCCGTCCCTCTCAGGACCCAGAGAAGGAAGCACCCCAGCCCCAGCCCAGCCGAAGGGGGAGAGGGACAGAAAGCAGGAGGCATCCAAGCTGGGCCTGCAGCACAGCAAGGAGCGGGCCGCGTAGGAGGAGAGGACACTCCTGCTGGAAGGAACAGCAAGAGGAAGGGATGGGGCGGGGACCGTCCACTGGCCCACGCAGCCACCAAGAATGCCCCCACGCTCCGGAGTCCAGCAGGGCCTCCTAAGATGCAGTGAACAGAGAGGGAGGGAAGGAGCGGCGAGCTGGCAGCAGCAGATGAGGCTCCCCCCTCACCTTCATCGCCTGCATGTTATCCTTCTGGTCGTAGTCGATGCGGGAGATGATGTGGGCATCAAAGCCCGCCAGGGCAAATAGGGTGGGGGTCGTGGCAGATGCACCAAATGGGTCGACCTGCCAGGAGAACTGCGGCCGGATCCCGAAGGTTTCATAGAGAAACCCGTGTCCTTCTGCAAAGACAGCACCGCCTTGCTGGTGACTGCAGGGTGGGCCCCTCCCACCCTCACTCACGCAGGGCCCCCCGCCCTGCCAGGGGCCTGAGTGCCATCTACTCAGGCAGGATCTTGCTGATGGAGATAACTAACTCAAAGGGCTCCAGAATCATCCGACAATTCATTTTGTTCATGATTTAAGAGCCCCCACAACTTCTGGGAGAGAGAAAACCCCAGATTTGTACAGGCCATTGATTGGTGTTCCCCATGCGCTTCCCCGAATCCTGTCTTCTCAGCACCCTGGGAGCAAGGGCTGCAGTCTGCACTGTAAGGAGAGGGAGCTCAGACTCAGAGAGCTCGAGGAGCTGGTCTGGAGTTAAACTGCCTTTCACTGAAGAACTCCCCAGGCCTGGGGACATCGGCTGAAGCCCAGACGATAGCCTGGGGTTCTGGAACAGAACCGTGATCAGACCCATAAGCAAGGCCAAGCCAGGGGGAGAAGTGACTGCTAGGAGGTGTGGGTGGCCTGAGAAACATGTGAGCCTGAGGCACAGTGGAGGTGAGTGAGGATCTGGCAGGCAGTGTGGGCTTGGGGTGGGGCTCCGAGCCCTCAGGACCGCCAGCGGGAGAAGGCAGAGGGTGTGCGGGATGCAAAGGAGACCAGGAAGGAGCAGCGGGAGAGGAAGAGGAGAACAGGGGACCGTGGGCTCCAGGATGACGGAGGGATGGTCTGTCAACCCGCAAAAACAGAAACCCGTGAAGAGGCAAGGCGTTGATTTGGGATCAAAGAATTGCAATTCAGGGAGCACAGATTCAGGTAGAAACTCAAATAGGGTCCCGCTAGGGAGTAAAAGTCAGGAGCTTTTAAAGGCAAAGAGGGGAAGCGGGATCACAGAGAATGCTAATCAGTGTTGGAGGCAGAGAGGTAGTCTTGGCTGAGCATTGATTGACAGTTGATTCCATCTTTGGAAAGCCCACCATCCTCAGTCTTTGTGACCAGGGTGTCCCTTCTCCTACTGACTTCTCACACAATTGCTTATAAAACAATTGCCATTCTGGTCCAGTCCAGAGGTTTGGCCCAGCTCAAGGTTCAAGACAGCCGGGCAGTGTCTCTGAAAAGGCAGCTCTCAGCCCGTTGTAAAACGGCTCCACTATAGTCAGTTTTGACAGGCAGTAGTGTCACACTGAGAGAGGGCAGGTCCGCTGTGGAGGGCACATGTTCTCACCAGACAGGGTGGCCGGAGGAGGGTGTGCCTGAGGGCTGCCAACTCAGGGCCCCTTCTCTATTCCCAGAATCCTCACTGTGTTCAGGGAGCACCTGCTCTGACCAAGGGATGAATTACCATTGGTCTGAGCCGGTCACAACAAACTCATTCTCTCTGCAAGATATTTGTTTTCTCAACCTCTGCTAGAAGCTAGAGGCAGGCAAGGACTATGGTCATAGCCAAAAGATGTCTGCGTTGAGCCTGCTTTGATTTCAGGGGAAGACTTCCCACTTTAAAAAGAGAGAATCAGGAAGAATGCCCCCTTTGGCCCGCTTTCCTGCCTTGAATGAGGATGTATGGCAACAGGATGCCTGGAGCTGTGGCAGCCATCTTGTGACTGCAAAGGGAAGAAAATGAGAATCACGAAACGGAAGAGCTGCTGACTCAGTCCCCAAACCATTACCCATCTTATTAAGTAGACAGCAAGTGTCCTTAAGACCCAAGCCACTGTGACTCAGGTTTTCTGGCCCTCTAGCAGAAAGCATTCTTGAGATCTAAAGGAAGAGGTGATTAATGAACGAAACTGATAATCTGCTAATTGGCCCCCAAGATACACTCTCCACTTTTTCTTTTAGTAGCAGAATCACACATTCCCTCTTAGTTCTAGCACTGTACACAGACACCTAGCTAGAGACTACATTCCCCAGCCACCCTTGTGGTGAGTGGAGGTCACATGACTCCATTCCAGCCAATGGGCTGTGAGCAAAATAATGGACTACATTCCCCAGCATCCTGTGCAGCTGGGTGAGACCATGTGACTAAGCACTGGCCAATAGGATATGAACAGCGAGGAGGACTACATTCCCAGCCTCCCTTTAAGTTAGGGGAGGCCATGTGACTAAGTTCTGGCCACATGAGCAGAGGAGATGAGGGCAGGTTCTGAGTCACCATTCACAAGGAAGCCGCCTGCCCTCTTGCCACCATTCCCTTTCCCCCTTCCTTGCTGGGATGACATTTCAGTGGGGTAAGCCACCCTCAGCCATGAAAAGAGGGCAGGGACACCCTAGGGGATAGCAGAGCAAGGGGACACCAGCAACTTGGATCCCTGGATTACTCTGTGGAGCAGAGCCACCCAATCTCCCAGAACAGCCTGCAACTGGAGACTCTTTCCCATGAGAGAAATAAAGCTTCCTTCTGGGTTGAACCACTGTCGATCGGTCTCAGTTAAAGCAGCTGGACCAGTGTCCTAACCAGTACAATGACCAGGTCAAGACCCACCTGGCCAGTGTGTGGAGGGCAGGGGCCAGCATGCAGGAGCCGAGGGTGAAGGAGAGAATGAGGGGAGATAGGAAAGGTGGCTGCAGCCTCAGCAGGAGTGACTTGCTTTCCTCCTTTTGAGGATAATGTTGAGCAAGTGTTAGTACTGCTGGAGAGAAGTCAGAGAGAAGGGAGGCCGAACAGAGACGACAACACAGGAGACAGAACGATGACTAGTTTCGGGTGTGGAGGGATGGGGGATGGGGCCAGGAGCTTGGTCTTGAGTACCCCAGGCCAGGCGTGGCCACCCAGGACAGCCCAGCTGTCTCCTTTGCTCCCACTTGGATCTTTTGCTTCTCTCCACTCCTGCTACTGGAGCCCTGGGCCTCTGAGGTCCGAGCTGGGCTCTCTCCCACTCAGGATGGTGGCGGGGGGAGATCTCCCTCTGGCACCTGCCACTCTGCCAGGCCTCTGCAGAGAATCGCAGCTAGAGAGCTGTCACCTCAAGGAGGGGCAGGAGAGCTCCCATCCCCAGGGGCTGCTGCGCACAGTTGGCGTCTCCTAACCACTGAGGTGCTGGGGACAAACGCTGTTCCCCTCATAGAAATCTCATGTCTAAAATTAAGGTGGGAGTCAGGTGATGCCAAGAGCAGGAGATGCGGAGGGAGAGGTGAGAAGAGTGAGCTCACTGGTGGCTGACGGCCCCCAGGCTCTGGTGGGCGGCCACAAGGGTCTTAGTCGAAGAGCTGCCTCGGAACCCCGGCTACCCCAGGCCAAGGTCAGAGGCCTAGACCCCGGACCCCTAACCCTGCCCATCCTGAGTTCCACTGGGAAGCCATCTTGGCCTGAGTCCAGAGGCCGTGCCAGCCTGCTTGCTTCATCCTTCCCGTCCAGGGCCTGACTCTCAGTTGCTCAGCACCCACCACTGCTCTGCCAGGCCTAGCAGCACTTGTCTGGTCAGATCCTGTGCTGAGCCCTGGGGACCCAGAGATGAATCAGACCCAGGTTGCTGCCAGAGGCCAGCTATAGTTTTGGGATGAAAGGGGAGGTGACAAGGAACTCTGGGGACCTAAAGGAGGTTCCCTGGCCGATGAGACTCCTCAGCTGAGTCTGAGATGAGCTGTTCAGGTGGAAACAAGAGGAAACATCAGGGCCCAAGGCACAGGAGGCGTCGTTGTTGGAGCAGGTAAAGGGCAGCAGGAAGCAGAAGGGGTGAGGCCAGTGAGTGAGGCCAGGAGGGGAGGCCCTGATCCACATTAAGGAGACTGAGGAATGTTATGACAAGATAACTAAATGGGGCTGGTCTGGTGGCATAGCGGTTAAGTTCAGCCCACTCTGCTTTGGCAGCCCTGTTTCACGGGTTCAGATCCTGGGCACAGACCTATGCCACTTGTCAGTCATGTTATGGTGGCGTCCCACATCCAACGTAGAGGCATATTGGCACAGACATTAGCTCAGAGCTAATCTTCCTCAAGCAAAAAGAGGAAGATTGGCAACAGATGTTAGCTCAGGGCAAATCTTCCTCAGAGGAAAAAAAAAAAGATAGCTAAGAAAGATTGCCATCACATCCCCACTTTCCTTGCTATGGCATCCAAACTGAAATACCTCACTTTATTTTAACCGGGGAAATGGAAAGAGTGCAGGCTTTGCAGTCAGGAACCAGATTCCAGTACTGGCCTGTGGGCTCAGCTGCTGGTTGTGGGTGGAAGGTTCACTCTCTGAGCCTCAGGCCTTCACGGCCACAGAGGGTAATAGGCCCCTCTCCCAGGATGTGAATATGTGCAAGGGGCACAGGACGAGCTCCTGGCACACAGCAGGATCTCTGTGTATGGAAGGCCTCTTGAACAAAAGAGAAGGATGTGAGGGTCTGAGAAGAAAGGGTTTTGTTGGCAACCCCACCTTCTCGATGGAAGTGGCAAAGTCTGGGGTTGAGTGAGGTCTAGCAATAACAGAGTGAGAAGCTGAGACATGGGAAGGACCCCAGATTAAGAGGAAAGGAGAGACAGTGCTAAAGAGATCCTTAGACATCATCCAATTCTACCCTGTTTTACACGTGTGGCCACTGGGGTCCATGCTGTCATGGATTGACCCTGGGGCTTAGAGTCTCAGGCTCAGGCCTGGATTCAATCCTGGCTCATCCACTGACTATTTGTCCATCTTTTGGTCTTAGTGTCTCATCTGCAAAATGAGACTGAGCATCATGATACCCCCTCAGCAGGCTGCCATTAGGACCCAGGGAGGCACTTCTATGATAAGCATTTGGTAAATGGTAAGGAAAGGGCCCCCACTGCGACTGTGGATGGTGATGGTGGCGTGGAGAAGGTGATGATGATAGTGGTGGTGGTGGTAGCAGTAATGGTGATGGTGGAGGTGATGGTGGTGATGGTGGTGGTGGTGGTGGATGTAGTGTTGGAGGTGGTGGTCATTGTGAAGGTGATGATGGTGATGGTGTGGTGGTGGAGGTGATGGTGGTGGTAGGTGTGGTGGTGGTGGCTGCAAAGGGGGATTGGTGCTGGTGGTAATGGTAGAGGTGACAGTGGAGGTGGTGGTGGTGTTGTGGTGGTGGTAGTGGTAGTTGTGGTGGTAGTGGTAGTTGTGAAGGGGGTGGTATGGGGGTGGAGGTAGTGTTGGAGGTGGTGGTAGCTATGAAGGTGACAATGGTGATGGTGGTAGTAGTGGAGGTGGTGGTGGTGGCGATGGTGGTGGTGGAGGTGGTGGTGGTGGAGGTGATGGTGGTGGAGCTGATGGTGGTGATGGTGGTGGTGATGGTGGTGGTGGCAGCAGTGGAGGTGGTGATGGTAGTGGTGGAGGTGGTGATGGTGATGGTGGTGGTGGTGATGGTGGAGGTGATGGTGGTGGTCATCGTGGTGATGGCAGTGGTGGAGTTGATGGTGATGGTGGCGATGGTGGTGGTGGCAGTGGTGGAGGTGGTGGTGGTGGTGATGGTGGTGGTGGAGCTGATGGTGGTGGTGGAGCTGATGGTGGTGGTGATGGTGGTGGTGGTGGTGGTGGTGATGGTCATGATGGCATCTAACCTTTACTGTTCAAATTCAAAGTGCTTTATTTGAATTATTCCAATTTAATCCTCACAACAACCCTTTGAAGTAGGTGTCACCATCAAACTCATTTTGTAGATGAGGAAACTGAGGCCCCGTGAGGTTCCATCCCTTACCCAGGGTCACAGGGGTGGGAATTAGCAGAGCCAGGATTCGGCCAGGCCGTCTGCTCTAGAACCTATGCTCTTTGCCCTGCGCTCCACAGCACAGACGTGAAGATGGCATCAGCCATCGCTGTTTTCCCTGGTCACACTCTCCCACTAAGAGGGGAAGATGGATTCCAGAACCGAGGTTCAGACGTCCAGTCCCAGCATGACTGGAGGCCCCAAGGGACTCTGGGTGTGGGGCAGGGTGACCGAACCTGTGAGCTGTAGGATCTGGTCATCAATGTGGGTCACAGCCTCATCATGCATGACCTGGCCTCCAATGACAAACTCCAGGCGTCTTTCGGCCAGGAGCTGGTGGACCTTGTGGGCAGAGAGAAAAAAGCCAGGTAACAACCCCGAGCTTGGTTTGGTCTGCAGGGGCCGTGGCTACAGCATCTCACTGCGCTTTCCATCCAACTCCTCGCCTTCAATTATTCTGCAGAAGCAGGGCCCTGCCTGTCCTGGTCAGCAGTGTGTCCCTCCACATAGACCGGCCTGGCCCAAGGCGGCTCCTTGATCAGTATATCCATATGTCTATGATTTTTACTTTTGAAAGAAGCTCAAACTTAGAGAAAACTTGCAGGTCTTGTACAAAGAGCCCCCGTACATCCTTTCCCCAGATTCATTCATCGTGAATCTTTTGGCTTCACACTCCCGCATCTCATTACATACGTGGTGAGGCTTTTTCTAAACCATCTTCAAGAATACGTTAGCCATGCACGCATTTTACCCCGATTCTTCAGCACGTGTTTCGTAGGAACAGGATAGTTATAACCATAGTATAATTATCAAAATCAGGGAATTTAACGGTAATACAACACCACTGCCCGATCCACAGGCTTTGTCACATTTTGCCAGTTGTCCCTCTAATGTCTTTTTTCAGGTCCCAGATTCAATCTGGGACCGTGCATTGCTTTGCGTGGTCATTTCTCATTATCTGTTCATTCGGGGCGGCTCCTCAGTCTCTTTTTTCTCTCAATGAGCTGATAACTCTGAAGATTACAGCCTGCTATTTTCTAGAATGTCCTTCATGGGGTGTTTGTCTCATGATTGGCTGATGACTACTTTTAAAATAAATGAATGCATGGAGGGATGGAAACATAAATAATGGCCAAGAAGGTGGCAGTGAGGCCACCGTGCCGTGTAGACACTACATTTCTGCTTTCCTCTCTGAACTAGCAGTATTTGACTTCATTCATTCAGCAGACATTGAATGGGCACCTACTGTGTACAGTTTTAAACGGGGGTCTTCTACACACCGGGCAAAGTCTGGGCACAGTCCGGGCACGGGGGATTGGGCAATGAACAAAGCACACAAAAATCCCCGCTTCTGGCAAGTCGTGCCAGTGTGTGGCCTGCCCAGGTCTTTAGCAGGCCATGCCTCTCTCCATGGGGTAGAAGACAGACAATGGAGTTTGGGGGTGTCCTTACTAGTCCACGTAAGGAAGTGTGCACTGTCCACTGGACACCCTGGAGAGACGAGCTTCAAGTCAGACATGTCTGGCTCAGAATCCCACCTGTCGAGTGTAAGCTATGTGACCACGGGCCAGTCACCTGCCCTCTCTGAACCTGGAGCATCTCTGCAAAGTGGGGTAACTGTCCCCACCGTACGGGCTGTTGGGAGGATTCAGTGGAGTCACGTGTGAAGAGCGCTAGCCCGGTGCCGGGCACGTGGGAAGTGCCATCGAACATGAGGGTCCCCCTCAGGACTCCACAGGCTGCGGGTTCAAGACAACCCCTCTGGTGGGAGCCAGTGGACGCCCTGCTTCCTCCTCTCAGCTTTGCTTAGCTTCTGAGCACGTCTCAGGCCTCTCTGAGCTTCACGCTCAGTGACTGTTCTGAAGGAAGGTGAGCGCCAGGGAGGGGACTAAGTCACTGATGCGGGACCTGCAGCTCAGAGTCCAGCTGCCACCTGTGGTCACACGGGAAGGTGGCGGAGGTGAGACCCGGTCCCAGGCTGCCTCCCTACAGGGCCTCTCTGACCCTCTGCCGTGAACCACAGGGACGGCTGCACCCTCGGCAGGGCTCCCACGCCCTGGGGGGCCGCACAGATGTGTAAGTGAAGGAAGAAGTTGTGGGGGCCCAGGGCCACCTCGGGAGTGACCCGTGTCAGAGGCTACCCCGTTCAGCACCAGCTGAGTGCACAGCGGGCTTGCTGGAGCTGCAATTGTCCATGAATGGCCAGACAGCCAGGATTAAAAGCAAACACGCTCTAGGGCAGAGCTGCCGGCACCCAGTGGGGCGTGGGCCTCGCTGTTGGGACCTCACAGTCCTGGTCGCCGTGAGAACGCCCCTGAGTTTCCTGCCTGGTCTTCACCAGACACGCTGGCCGCCCCTCCATCACCTGCCCCTCGAGGACTGTCCTCGTGGGCAGCCTTACCTGGCGTTTCTGCTTGTCCGAGGCAAGGCCATCCCACCACAGCCGGAAAAACTCCTGCTCCACCAGGATGAACCGGCGTTTCTTCTTGCGGGCCAGCTCCTCCACCACCGAGGTGTAGACGTTGGCGGCGTATGCCTGCATGCTTTCCTGGGGAGGGGGCACATCATTGCACGGGCCCCAAGGACCAGGGAGTAAAAGCCAGCGTGCCGAGCTGTGCCTGGGCCCCTCCCTCTCACCGCATGTCTGCACGCGGCTCCTCCTCTAGCTTCCGCACTGCCCTCGCAACAAAGGACCCCTGGCACCCACTCTGTGCAAGACACGTGGCAAGGGTTGGGACTGAGGGAACAACATGGCTCGCCCACCTTTGATGAGAACGTGCTCTCCTGGGGAGAGAGATGATCAAGAGACCATGACACTCTACGTGGGCAGAGCAACATGCCAGCTCAGCCTAGGGGTCAGGGCGTGTGACCTGGCCCTGAGGTTGCCATGGGGGAACAGCACAGTCAAGCCCAGGGGCAAGACGGGGTGAGGTCCCGGGACCCCAAAGGGACTTGCGTGGGCTGAAATGAAGGGGAAGCAGGTGTTCAGAGTTGCAGCAGAGAAGAGCTTCTCCCTTGGGTTCTCCCTGTGGCTCCAAGAGATGAAGTTGTTCGTAGCTGCTTCCCACCTGGGTCTCCAGGCTGGCCCACAGTAGTGCTCAGGGAATGCCAAGAGCACTGGGCAGGGAGTTAGCAGCCAGCAAGTTATCCCTGAGTGACCTTGGGAAAGACAACAACCCTCTCTGGGCCTCAATTTCCCCTTCTGAAAACTGGGGGTGGCAGGCATGCTTCTCCCACCCTTAAGCCATCTCCATATGCAGGTGAGACGCCACCCCCAGGGGCTGCCCCGTGCACCCCAGGACTGAACTTCACACTCAGCATCACATGCTCCTCCTGCCTCTCTCTCTTTGAAACTAGCTGCTCACTTATTAACGTCTTCTGTAAAGTTATTATATCCATAATCACAGAGGGGCTTTGCTCATGTATCTCTCTATTTCCTTCCTCATCCTAAAAAAGAGCTAGAGGAGCCCCGGGTAATAACATCCGAGCCCCTGGCCCAGAAAACTAAGGAAATCAGGGGCTTTTCCCTCTTTTTCACTCTGCACTCATTCATTCATTTGTTCATTCAACAAACATCTGCCGAGCGCCGACTCCGTGTGTCAGGCACAGTGGGAATATGTCAGTAAAGAAAACGGATGCAGCCCCCGCACTGTGGAGGTGATGTTCTAGTGAGGAAAACAGGCCCTCAGGGAGCCAGGGGGCATGATATAGGAAGGGAGGGAGGAGGGAAGGGAGTGGGCCGGAGACCGCATCCCCGGAAGCCTCAGGCACCCACCTGGACCGTGTGGATCCAGCCCACGTCCATGTGGCTGTGGGGCACCACGAAGATCCTGATGTGGTCCGCGGCCTGGGCCCCCAGGAGCCACCGCAGGACCAGCGGCCCAAGCAGAGGCAGCCAGCGGAGCAGCCCCATCCTGGAGCCCAGTAGGCAGAGACTGGCACTGGCCACTCCCGGCTACCCTGCGGGCTGCCCCGGGCAGCTGACTGGGCACTCGCCCTTGGGGGAGGGAGCAGGCAGGGGAGCAGGAGGAGTGGCCTTCGCAGCAATGCCGTCCCTTAGCAGCACAGGCCAGTGGCACTTGCTCACTGCCTTTCAGCTCTCCGCCCTCCACTCCCCAACTCCAGTTTCCTGGCCATCTCTGTCCAACTTTATGCCAAACCCCAAAAGCCCCAGGGAGGCCTGCCAGATTTCCCTTCAGCCTGGGGTGCCTCTCCTCGCCCCAATGCCTGTGCCTCGCTGAGCTTTTCTCTCTTGGCACGCCCTGCAAAACTCAACAGTCAGTTTGGGGAGTGCCACCACCAGGAAGCCTTCCCTGATAACCTCTTCCTCATATAGAACTCCCAATCTGGAGCATGCAATAGGGATCTTATCTCCATTTTCAGGAGGAAATCCAGCTTTCAGAAAGAGTACTTGCCTTGCCCGAGATCACCCATCTAGTGGAGGAGCGAGACTGACGGAAACTTTCCCATTGAGTTCTGGCTCTCCGGGTGCTGAGCCTGGCTGCTAAACATTTAACCTCTCTGAGTCTCCGGTGGCGCATCCCTGAAAGAGGGTGCAGCAGAGGAGCTGTGAATCTGCGGGAGAACTCACACGAGATGACAACCTCGTGCCTGCAGCCTGCCCTGGAGGAGGGGAGGTCACAGTGGTGCAGCATGATGGGGCAAGAGTGTTGCCTGGAGCCCCTTCTGTGCTGGGGCCCCGAGAACAGGGCATCTGTGGTTTGGGGGGGACTGCCTGAGAACCCAATGGCCAGGCCTCTGACTGGCGTTTTCTAGTGTGGCCGAAGCTGTGGCTCTGTCTCCCCGTGCTGGCCACCTTGTGCATTCATTCAGCAAACCCAACTGGAGAACATGATCTCCAAGCCAGTCTGTGTCCTCTCTGCCGCATCCGCCTTCCAGGGCCCTCACTCCTGGGCCCAGGTCAGACCCTCACCTGAATCAGATGAGGAAAAGGTCCTCCAACTTTTGTGTCCCTGTAGCCTTCCAGGACACACAGCCAGACTACATCTCCCAACCTTCTCTGCACTCAGTGTAGCCACAAGGCCAAGCTTTAGCTGATGGGTGTGAGGGGAGTGCCCCCCTTCCAGGCAGGCCCGTAAACGCAGCCTCCCCCACTTCCTCTCCCACTGCCCGAAGGGAGGGTACTCAGGACCGTGGGGAGGTCAGAGCCATCGACTGAGGCTCCAGAGGACCCCTGGAACCAGGAGGAACTCGATAGGCCATGCCATGAGGGAGAAAGCACTTCCATTGTGCTAAGCCACCGAGTTTACAGGTAACAGTGTCACAGATTCTGTCTCTCAAGATGGCTGTCACAGCATCACGCGTCCCGGGAACCCTTTGTAGGATGTGACTGTGACGCTGCTCCTGTTGGAAGGGGGGTCTGTGTCTTCTCCCACTGAAGCTGGGTGGGCTTGTGATTCACTTGTAACCAACAGAATGTGGCAAAAGTGGCCCTGGGGGACTTGTGTGGCTGTCCAACATGACACTGCAGCTTTTGCCTTGTTCACTGGAGCAGTCACACGTGGAGCCCGGAGCCGCCACGCTGTGAGGAAGCCCAGGGCAGCCCCAGGGGTGGGCTACATGGAGAAGCCGTGAGAGCATGTGAACAGAGACGAGCTGGCCATGCTGTTCCAGCTCCCGCTCTTGCAGCTCCAGTCCCATTGACTGCAACCACTTCGGGCGGGTGGTCCCGTACGTTTCCATTCCTGGTGATTGCCTCCGGCCTCTGCGTTCCTGCTCTGCAGCAGCTAACCCCGGGGTTGTGGCTGATGCTGGTTACCCCCGCCCTGCTATGGATTCCATGCCCTTCACCCTCAACTAGCACCTGTGCTGGACGAGATGGCTCGCCTGGTGGGGTAGCCCGGATCCTCATTCCCAAGGGGTCTGACCCTCGGTGAGCTTGCCTTCCCAAGCCACGACATTATCCCATCTATTCACTGTCCAAACAAGCAACCAGAGACACCCACGGGAGTGCCCGACCGAGTCCTCTCTATTCCTGTGTGACAGCCCACTGGACCTGCCCCCTCCCAGAATGGTCCAGAACAATTATCTCTGCTAGACTCATGACTCTTCCCCTTGCCTGCCGGTCTCTTGGCTCGAGTAGCCCAAAGTGACCAGTGGCAGTAGTAGCATTCCCCTTTGGACACCAGAACTTCTGGACCTGCAGAGTGCAGTGCCGTGTATCTGGACACAGATCCCCACGTGGGTCACTGGGTGTGGTGAGAAATGAGGCTCATCCTGCTTCCATCCTTTATGTTCTACCCACTGGGGACAGCACGCACTGGTCATTGGTTTGGGGTGTCTGTGCCTCCTGGAGGATGGTGCCCCAGATTCACAGGCAGTGTCTCCAAGCTGATGCTCAGTGGAGCCTTCAACCAGCTGTCCTCTTCCTCTCTCAGGCCGACGGCTTCTGGGTGCTAGGGCACATAGTAGGGCCAGCAGACTCCACGGTCGTGTGCCCACTGTCACACCTCCTTACAAAAATGGCTCCCTTGGCCTGATGACACGTATGCCCTCGCTTAGAGCACTCACTCTGGAGGAAGCCAGCAGCCACGTCCTGGGGACACTCAAGCCGCCTGTGAAGAGTCCACACAGAGAGCAGCTAAGGCGTCCTGCCCACGGCCAGCTCTAACTCACCAGCCACACCAGTCAACCGCCCGCAGGCAGTCCTCCAGCCCAGCCCCTGCTGCAGGAGTCCCAGCCCACGCCTTGACTGCAACCTGGTGAAGCCTGTGGGCCAGAAACACCCCGCCAAGCCGCTGCTGGATTCCTCACCCCAGAAACTCTGGGTGACAATAAAACTTGATTGCACGTTCAAGCCACAGTCCTCAAAATCCGTGGGTATTCCCGCCTCCCTGGTGCCTGGTTACCTGAGTCCATGACCACAAGCCACCTCGGGGAAAGGATGGGGGATCGTGACCATACGCCACTGCCACGGTGTCCCAGAGTCCTTCCACCCGGGGACCCGGAGTGTGGCTTTGAAAACTGGCTCAGGTCTGGACACTGGGCAAAGGCTGAAGCCTGTTCAGCGGGGGGCTGCCCTCTCCTCTGAACCCGTCCAGGCCTGACTTTCCAACAGGGTATTCTGAGGGTCAGCTGGTCAGTTGTCCATCTATTTTGTCCCAGGCATCCTGTTTTCTAGTGACCACCTCCTCAGCCCACAGTGGGTCTCACTGCCATTCGGGCCTTGACATGCGTTGCAGTGATTGCACAGACCCCACTTCTGGTGGCGAAGTGCAGGCCCCCGGCCTCCTATTCCTGTATCATCTTTCTACCGGCAGGCGCCATCAGGGACCCCTCTCTGTAATGGCGCCACTGCCGTCAGCCCCAGCCCACAGGGGCAGCCTCGTCTTCCAGCTTCTTGGTGACGCTGGTGCTTGGTCAATGGAGCGTCCTCCGGGCCTCCTGGGGAACATGGTCACCAGGTGGGTCTTCTGACCTCACACACCAACTTCACTGTCACCTACGCCCACTTCTCTGAATCTTTGACCGCTTCCTCCCCCATCTGCCATGGTAGTTCTGGTATCTCTTGATCACTCTCTGTGGGCCGACACGCTCTCCAGCTTCAAGAGCACCTCCGCGGCCTGCTCGCGCTGCCTGCTGGTGTCAAGTCCTTCGTGACTGGCATCTTAGTCTGCTTCAGCTGCCGTCACAAGATAGCACACACTGGGGTCTCTAACCACAGCCCTGTCTCTCCTCACGGTTCTGGAGGCTGGATGTTCCTGGGGCCGGGGAAAGAGTCTGGGCAGCTTCTGTGACAACCTCTGTGGTTTGGCTCTCCTTCGCTGGGGAGGGGCATCTCACAGCGGGGAGAGGCCACAGTGTGGGAACAGTTCTTTCTAGAAGTAGGTTCTGGGGTGCCCAGCCCAAAGAGGCTGTTGTAGGTCCTGGGTTCTGTTACTTTGGTTGCTAGTGGCAGTTGTTGCTCAGAAAAAAAGCCGGTGCTAAATGTGTTTTCCCCACTCCGGCGAGATGCCCCACAAATGCCCCACATTCGAATGCAGGCACTGAAAGAACGGGGTGCTGCTAGCTCCCACATGACAAGGTCAGTTTGTCCCCCTGTCACGCGTGGGCACTCTGGCTTGCGACCTCTTCTTGACCCGGGTCAAAGCTGCACATGAAAAGTGTGAGGCGTGACTCGTTCTGGGTGATCTAGAAAAAGGATCGGCCTGAACTTTCTTGATGGGCATGTGGGAGGGTGCGAGATGGGCACACCTGAGCCATGTCCCGTTTAATCCTTGTGACATCAGTGTCCTCCATGCCCTGGAGCAAGTGGGACAGGCCTAGGGGCTCACAGTGGCCTTGATGGGCAAACTGCCTGGGACCGCACCCAGGGCCAAATGCTCTCCCCAGCCAGCGGCACAGACACAGCGTCCTCTTGCCTCCATCCTTCCCTGGCTCCCAGTGTCTGCCCTCCGGAAGCATGATCCACAGCCTGCGTTTCAGATCCTTCCAGACTTGGCCCCACTCTGCCTTTCTGACCTCACCTCCTGCATCCTTCTTCTCCCGCATTCCTTCTAGCAGCGGCTGGAAGGCCCCACTGCTCCCATCCTCATGACCTTCCTCCCCTGCGTGTGCTGGCTGCTGTGTCTCCTCCACCTGGAATGAGCTGGCTTCCTCCTACCACCACCACTGCATGGCCAAATCCTCCCTGCAGTTCAAGCCCTTTCCCCCCTCAGGCCCTTTGCACATGCTGTCCCTCTGACCAGAAGCATCTTCCTCCACTCTCTGTCTGGCTAATTGCTACTCCTCCTTCACATCTTGCACTCTCAGAGAGACCTTCCATGAATGTCCCCTCCTTCTTCACAGCATTTACTGATGTACAGAATTCCATATTAATGTGTGTGTTTGGTCGACATCTTCCCACCTGACTATACGCTCCATGAGGCTTCGTTCATTCGTATCTGCATCCAG